TTTTGTCCACTTCGCTTGGTGGTTATAGGTAGTATCGTCTTAAGTTGACGATGTTCCACGCTCAGGGTATTTGTTTGCCCTCTAAGGTTTCAAGCTCATATGCCCCCCCGAGCGCTCTCTTTACTCTGTATGACCCTTCCCAATTTGGTCCAAGTTTTCCCATGCCGGGTTCGGGTACCATGATCTTACGGAGAACCTGGTTGCCAACGCGGAAGCTCCGCTTCTTTACTCTGGCATTGTAGTACCAAGCTACTTTTTGCTGGTAGGCTGTTGTCCGGATGTGCGCGAGGTCTCTTACCTCATCCAGTAGGTCGAGGTTGGTACGTAACTCGTCTCCGTTTGTCTGATCATCATATGCTTCTGGTCACAGTGTAGGTATTTCGATCTCCGTCGGGATTACCGCTTCAGTGCCATAGGTGATGTTAAAGGGGGTATCTCCCGTGGTGGTTTTTTTCTGTAGTTCGGTGAGACCATAGAACACTTGGTAGCTCGTCCACCCACAACCCTTTTGCTCGGTCTAGTCGTGCTTTCAGTCCGCAGAGGATGGCTCTGTTCATTACTTCTGTCTGTCCGTTTGCCTGCGGGTGTGCGACCGATGTGAAGTTCTRACGAATTYCCATATCTTGGSACCATTCTTGGAACTTGATATCCTCAAACTGCTTGCCGTTGTCGGAGATCAGTACCCGAGGTAGACCGAAGCGACATACTATGTTCTTCCAAAAGAAGTTCTGTATGTTTCGGGCTGTAACTGTTGCTAGAGGTTCAACTTCTATCCNTAGGAACACTGGATCTAGCTAAGAGATAAGATAGAAACACTAAATCTAGCTAAGAGATATGATAGGAACACTGAATCTAGCTAAGAGATAAGATAACACTGAGTCTAGCTAAGAGATAAGATAACCCCATAAATACATTAATAATGCTAAATCTATGGTTTCAAATAATCATATAAAGGTATAAATATATAAGAAATGTATGTTTTAATAGTTCATACGTACACATATATACATTCAATTAATATTCTGGCAAATCACTTATTTTTTACATGGGACTGAAATAATGAGCTTTAATATCAAGATTACATATTTCATACTCTAAGAGAAAGAAATCATTGTGCTAGTTTCCTTGCTAACATGGGTATCGATTAAAAAAGATTTCAAATTTATTATCACACTATTCAGGCATTCCTGTAAAACTTAAGAAGCTGCTCCATGAAGAATATTTGGGGATTACTGTTCTTCTTTTGTATTAATTTCTTGCTTTTTTTAATGGAGATTTGTTATTTTGTTGAATCTTGTATCGGATAATGTTAAAATGGCAAGGATATGTGCTTTTGTATCGGGTTTTGGGATAAAGCGGGTTGCGCCCTTTCCTTTATTATTGTTTACTCTCCTTTTGACAATGATTAGTAAAATTTAAGGTGATTGCCCCTCCGCCTAAAGTAAACTTAGGGGTCTTACAAAACATCCAATCAATATAACTAGACAAATAAATCTCATATGACTTTGCTAATAATGCATTAATTATGAGTTTTAGACACACTCAATATAGTTTATCTAATTTGTTAAGTGGCATGTGAAATGATGCAAATGCCTTTCCGGTGTTATCTATTTTTTTTATCAACCACGTAAATGCCCAAATCTAAATGTCCTTTAGGTTGGTCATCATTGCTTTGGTTCAATCTTGATTTTTGAGAAGGAAGATAATGAGTAGTGTCTTATTTCGAATAGTAATTTTGATATTTTTAAAAGTTTTAAGTCACACATGTCATCACGTGATATAAAAAATTGATGGATTACTAAGGACAATGACTAAACTGGGACGCATTGAAAGTTTAGGTACTAGATTGACACATTTTGAAATTTGGATACTAATACTAATTTGCAATCTACCCTAAAATTAATAATGAAAGGGAGACATTGGGAGAAGGAACGTAAGGGAAAGAAGATACCTTGCTCTTAGTGCCACTTTATATTTTATTTATTTTTGTTTTTAATTTTGACTTGTATTATATTTAGTGGAGAAATGCTCATTGGAGAGATGAAATATCTATACACATGGCCTATTTTATATGATTTTTAATTATTTTCAGAGAAAATAAGAAAACAATCAAAAAATTAAAATGAGAAAAAAAATAAAATTCATTTATTTGTAAAGAGAGGTCTTCATGGTTTTAATATATAAACTAGTAAAAGAGCACATACTTTGCAGTTAAAGAAAAGTAGATCTAGTCCCAAGTCCCAACCTTTTGGGTTCCTTCCTCTTTCCCAATACGATATTAAGGGTCTGTTTTGTTTGCAGTTAGATTCGGAATCAGAATCGGAATGGTCCATTCCCATAATCTATTTGGTTCAGACATGAATGGGAATGTGAATTAAAATCAGCAGGAATGAGATTTCATTCCCAAGGGAGGGGCTGGGAATGGCCGTTCCCTCAAATGGGAGAATGCCATTCCAGTATGAATGGGAATGAGATTCCAATTCCACCCAACCAAATAGTTGGAATCAGAATAACCCATTTCAATTCCAATTCCAGACCCTTATTCTCGTGAATCAAACGGGGCCTAAGATCTTTGTATTGATTGGGTTATACCTACATGGATGATCTCATTGCTAAAATAAAAAAAAATGGGTTTTATGCTATGTTGTCTCTGCCCTTTAACTTACTGATGGAATTTTCATTATGATCACATATGAAGCCAAAAAATGCCATGAATTAATGTTACAGGATGTGCTACAAGAAAACAGTAAAAAACTAATTTAATATATTTATTTTGGGTATCCCAAACATAACTTAGGAACTGGAAATCCTTCAAGAGAAGCATGATATCAAACTTCTAAGTCAGATCTCAACATAAGTAGGTTAAAAGATATGATTTTTTTTTTCTTGTATAGTTATTTCCAAAAGGTCAAGACTGCAATTACCTCGTTGAATGAATTGTCCTCTTCATGTTTCATAAATAAGAGGAAGGTGGATAAAAAAGAAAAGAAACCTGTATAGGTTTTTGATGAGGGGTGATTTGGCCCGATCTATCCATGCATGGACATATGGAGGTGACCTATTGATTGGACATTGACTCAGCACTTTTTGCCACCTCACCAAGAGAGGTCACCTTGGGTACCTCGGTCACCTCGGCCAGAACTGAAGTTCGAGCAGTTTGTGGTACCCCGACTTGTTAAAGTGACACGTAGCCAACTTCTCGAAGCTAGCAAGCTATCTCCGAGTTTACGGGATCACGCCGCACGTCCTTAGGTCTTATCCTCATCCCACCCGGATTGGACTGACACGATAAGCCTTATCGGCTAGCACGAAGTCCACCTCCTGGTGCGGAACGAACTCCTAACAGCACGGGCCAAGAATCTCGAAGGAGTTTCATTAGGTTCATGGTAGCTCATTTATATAAGGGCACCTACCCAGTGATACAGGGTATGCACGATTTATTGCGTTCTAGCTCTCTTGTTATCAAGCTTTTAGCTCGCACACAAATTATACTAACTTAAGCATCGGAGTGCCCAGATCGGGTTAGCCACCCCAGGTCTTCTAAGCTCTACTCCTTATAGTTCAACTGGCCAGCTAAGCAATCGACTTCCGAGCTGCCCTCCAGATAGGAGCAACCAGATCGTGCACCATCAGTTTCCAAGTTCAAAAAGGAATTTTCACATTAGAAATTGAGAAAGAGCATTCCAAGAGAATACTAAAGTAATCTGTCTTCAATGAAACACTTGCTAGCAAACCATAACGATAATCGACGTGTGTAGACAAAGAGAGAGAGAATCAATATGCATATGAGGTAACAAGGAATTCAAAATAGCATATTGAAAATAAAAGTTTGATCATTGGTGAAAGTTGGTCGGATAATTTTGCTCATTATAACAATAATTTTTATGGATAAAAATGTCATTATATGTAAATAAGTTCACTTATCTAGGTAAGTGTAAGTGAACTTATCCAAGTAAATAATAAAATGAACGAGTCTTTGTGATAATGTAAAATTGCATTAATTTTAACCCTAAAGTCTATTTGACCAAAATAATTAAAAGAGAAAAAATAACAGGGATGCCAAATTGAAATAATAAAAAAAAAAAGAAAAAGAAAAAAGATAATAGCAAAAAAAAGATAAAATTATAATACTAAAAAGACATGATACCGAAAGATCATTGACTAATAAAAGCACCCACGTGATTAATTGATCACCCCTTTTATGATACCAGTTGATTGGATGTAAGGAGAAAAAATAAGTATAATTAGAGGTCTGATCTGACATCTGATCCGATTATCTGATATTCGGATGATGTATTTATGTAATTGGATTGGGTTCGGATTTGACCCCATCCGATTCGATTATATTATAATATTTATTAATTTTAATATATAAATTTTATAAATTATATTAAATTTTGTAAAAATATATTATATATGAATTTATATATAATAAATTTAGTATGTTATATTTATATTAATTTATTATATAAAAAAGTTGAAAGATAAATTAATTTTTAAATTTTCTGATATTTTAGAGAATTTAAAGTAGAGTCAGATTAAATCCAAATCCGATTCGAGTCCATTAATATTCGAATTCGAATCCAAGTCTTTAAATCCGATCTGATTTTTGGATCATTCCAACAATGCCTTATAGTCAGTCTTGCATTGGGAATATCTCCACATGAAAAAAAACATACAAGTATAGAGATATTCCCAATACACGGTTGTAAAAGGCTGTGAGAATGATATATGCATGGTCTTGTGAGCACGATCTCATTAGGGACCAAAGTGGGTTTTATGCTTAAACCTCCCCTGGGTTTTTTAATTTTTTTGCTTAAGAGGGGTGGTTTATATTATTATCAGAAAACCCAAGGAGGTTTTTATATTTTACTCTTAATTTAACAGGCAAAACATTAAAACAAGAAACCGAGTGTTTGTCATCAAAAGGTGGGTCATGGTCTCATGGACGGTCTGGATTTTTGGTAGCAAACAACACAAAATACAAAGAAAAGCAAAACGAAAGTTAATATCGCGATGTGGGAATTGGGATTAGCAAGCTAGGTGTGACGGAGGGGAGGATGTTTCCAGTGTCCTTGTTTATTGTTGGTGTTGGATGCTGCTCCTCCTCCTCCTGCTGCTGCTGCTGCAATATTCGAGTTTTTCATTTTGACACGAACACTAGCAGGGCAATCAACAGCTAACACGCTATGTTACAGTCGGATTCTTCTGCTTCGGTTTCTACTAAATCCGGTTCTGATGAAGACGACAACCTCATTGCTTTGGCTCGACAACAACTTCAATCAAATCCTCAGACTCCTCTCTCATGGCCTTCAAATGGAAATCTGACGCTAGATTGGGTCCTAGACCTTATATCCACATTTGATTGGTCTTCCAGAAATCTGCCCCCTTCCGATTTCTCTTCTGTATTGCCTGTTCCGGTTTTCGACCAATTTATTCTTTTGGCGTCAAAGATACTCCACAAGGAACCGAATTGTGTTAACATTGATGGGTGCGCGCCGGATTCCAGTGTCGTTGTGGTGGGTGATGTTCATGGTCAGCTGCACGATGTGATTTTCCTTTTTGAAAATGCTGGATTTCCCTCCGAGAAAAGGTTTTTCGTGTTTAATGGAGATTATGTTGATAGAGGGGCGTGGGGGCTTGAAACGTTTCTTTTGTTGTTGGCTTGGAAAGTAAGTATCTCCACCCCATCGATTATCACTTGAATACACGAATGAATTTATGTGATTCGGTTAAAGTAGAAAATGGATGTCATTGCGGAAATGGGGTTTTGGTCTTTTGCTTTAAAATTGTGATCTTGGTGCTTGTTTGTCAAATAGCTTCTTTAGTTTGTATTTGAAGCTTGAATATTTTGAAATTTTAGGTAATTATGGATCTATTTTGTTTAATTGGGTTTTTTTAGGCTTGTTTTGTCTAGTTGGTTTATCCTGTGTCCATCCTTCTTTCTGATTTAGTTGATGTCTTTAGTCCCTTCATTGAATTATTTAGGGAAGTAGGAGACTTGGGGGTAAGTGACACCATGAATATGGAAGAAAATATCAACCTTGCTAGATTCTAGACAAGTAGAAAAACAGTTCGTGTAGTTTTCTTATAGATGATACTAACAAAAGCAACTGAATTGCATGTTTATGATATGCTATTTCCATGGAATTTATGCAGTTTACCGTGTTAAGAAGGCCATCGTTAGTAAGAAGCTTTGGATTTAACACACACACACAAAAAAAAAATGGTGTCTGCCCTGTGACCCTACCTTTAACATAGTTCAGACTTGCTGATAAAGTACATCAATTCTCCCAATCAAGAGAAGGGACTCTTTTTTTATGAATTTGTATTTTTAATCTTTCTATAAATTCTTTTCTGTTTCACAGATCTTTTTGCCACATAGAGTATTTCTTCTACGAGGAAATCATGAATCCAAATACTGTACATCTGTTTATGGTTTTGAACAAGAGGTAATGGTGAAATATGGAGATCAAGGAAAGCATGTGTACAGGAAATGCCTAGGATGCTTTGAAGGGCTTCCGTTGGCCTCTATTATTGCTGGACGTGTATATACAGCTCATGGTGGACTTTTCCGCAGCATGCCTGTCGCCTCATCAAAGAGGGCCAAAGGGAAGAAAGGTCGTAGAACGGTTTTCAAACCGGATATTGAATATCTCTCACTTGGTTCTTTGGAGGAGTTATCTAAAGCGAGAAGATCAGTTCTTGATCCTCCTTGGCAAGGCTTGAACTTGATACCTGGTGATGTGCTATGGTCAGATCCATCAATGAACCCTGGTCTTTCTCCAAATAAAGAGAGAGGCATTGGTCTGTTATGGGGTCCTGACTGTACCGAGGAGTTCTTGAAAAAGTATCAACTAAAGGTGTGGTTTAGATAGTTCATCTTTATCTTAACATTATTCTAGACAATCATCTCACAATTATTCTATAATTTATTCTTTCTATGATTAAATGAAAAACAATAAAAAAATATATCTATTAACAAAGAAATTGCATTATAAATATATGAAAAATATATTAAAAAAGAATTTTTAGTCTGAAAAGTTTCTACTGTATGGAGAAACAAACACATCCATAATGGAAAAACTTGAATCAAGTGCACTTGTTTTTTGAACATCATTTTCCATATTCCTTTTGTACAATGTTGGATGAGTATATATATACATGGGAATCAGAATGCAACACACACCTGAGGGTCTGAGTCAGCAAGAAGAAAAAACAAGGACTTGCAAACACATCTATAGAAAAGTACTAACTATTAAAATAGTCCATATTTTTTTTTGAATTCTAATATTATAAAGGCCATTACCCAATGTTGTTCCCAGCTACCTTGGGTCTTGGGAGGGGTAGACATGATGCTGTCCTAACCTTTGACATTTTTTTTAACAAAGTGGTTGCTCTCAGACTCAAAACCATGTTCTCACGCTTGCTAGCCCAAGATTTTACCATCACACCCAGTAATGGACCTTAAATTCTAACATTGTATGCCTATAAAAATGGTCTAAAACTTTATCTTTGTTATTTAGTAATGGTTTCTGGAAAAGGTGTTTGTTGTGTATATTAACTATTCATCTATGATATATAAGCTAGATAAACAAAAATGTTATGTTGTAGTGTCCATCAAGAATCAATGGAGTGTTGGAATCTAAACCCACTTAGGAGAGTTCATGAAAACTGCTTTTGTATATGCCTTGAAAGCAATCTTGTCATCTGGTTTCTTTTCTTAGCTTAGTTAAAGCATCTCAAATTACAACTCTAATTACAAGGATTTTCTTGTTGCTACAGTTGATTATTAGATCACATGAAGGGCCTGATGCTAGGGAAAAACGGTCCGGTCTTTCGGGAATGCAAGAAGGATATACAATTGATCATGTAGTACAGTCTGGGAAGCTGATTACACTTTTCAGTGCTCCCGATTACCCACAATTCCAGGTTATTCTTACAATCTTACTCCATGCATATCTTTACCAACAGTCCACTAAACCATGGCCTTAGTTGATTATCTTGCAGCTAACAGTAACTTTCATAGTTTCATTCTCTTTCTCAACTTTTATTTGGAAAAATATCAGAAAAATTCAACCATTCAACTATTTCTATATTCTGGATTTTTAATAGCTGAATGCTTGTAAAAGCATAATATTACCAAAATTTGACCTTGGCAAAAAATGAAAGAATCTTGATATAAAAAAAAATTCTGGATAAAAAATAGCACAACATGCATGGTGTCAATGAAATTAGGTGATAAGTAGTTGATTTGACATTTTGACATCCCTAAGTAATGCAACTGATCAATGCCTAAGCGTTCTTGTCAATCACAAAAGATGTCTAATTAATATAATGCTACAGCCTCATTAATAAAGACTGCAAACATGCAATAAAAGATATGATATCTAGTTTCTGTTCTGCAAACATAAAGGGGAAGGTTGAATTAGTTCAGGTAGTTGACCCTTTTTTACTAGACAAACTTGGGAGTGGGGGTGGGGAGGGTGAAGGTGGATTGAGTCCCATGTCAGTGGGAACTAGTTCTGCTAACTTTACCAGCTGAACCAACTAGCACCTTCAGGAGGCAATAAGCTAACAACCTTGACCATCTGATGTGGTCTCCTTGTTTATGGCTACCATGTACTAGTATGCTACAATTGAAAGAAGACCTAAAAGAAATCCTCCACTATATATCTTTCTGTTTTATATACTCTTATTCAATGATGTATTACCAGAAATGCTTAAAACATCTAACTTTAGCAATATAACTACATAATACTATTTTAAAAATGGGAAATAAGCATGCAAAACACTACTTTAAAATAACTATCTCATCAACTAGGAAAAGAAACAAACTGATCATTAGGTGACCTTATCATCACTTAGTCATCATCATAGATGACCTCATCAAGGGTATTGGTCAAGTTCATGATGCGGTTGGTTTGGACCTTAATTCACTAGTTAATATTTTGGTAACACAAATACATTACGGAGCCTGACAATGGAAAATGGATTATAGTTACTTGGGATAATAGCCCTTCTTGGGTGAATCTGGAGGATAGCCAACAGCCTAGCTAGAGAAGGAATGAACTTGGAGAGTAAGCCTTCGAGAATAGCATTTTATTTTCTTCTAACTTGTTTCTTCTGGTTTGACATCTTCCCCTCAAGGGTCTTTGTATCTAGCACCTTTATGGTACTCTAGATGAGATGATTGTATTCCTTAGCTTTTGATTATTAATAAATCTCTTCTTTGATGTTATTATTGATCAATAAAACAAAAAAAAAAGGAAAAGAGGTAAAGAACCATTCTCATGCATCCTTAACTCACCTATTACCAATATCTGAGCCATTTTTATCAGTAACAGATTAAAGAGTTTTTTTCTTTTAATTATGTGAAAAGAGTAGGTTACAAACAAGTGCTATGCACACCCCCCCCCCCCCCCCCCCCCCCCCCGACTTAGCCTGAACCATGGCCAAACACATTGTCCTCTGTAGTGCCCTTACTTTTTCCTTTTTCACATCAAATGGTACTCAACACACCCCAAAAAGGTTTTCTCTGCTACCTCTTTTTTTGCCATTGCTTCCACAAACCCATTGGCAGATTTGTGTACCCACCTTATGATAATGACCATCACCTCTTTAACTTTTTGGTCTCCCCCAACATGTTCCTATAATACTGTGGGGCCACCCCATCATCCTTGAGCCAGCACACCACCACTTTGGAGTCTACCTCTAAGTTAGGGGTGTTCATTCAGTCAGTTTGGTTCAATTCCATTCGGAATAAAACCAAACCAACATTTCGGTTAGGCCATTTTCATGAACCGAACCAAACTGAATTCAAATCAGTTTGGTTTGGTTTTAAATCGGTTAATTTGATTAATTAATAATATAAATATTAATTTTATATTGCAAGGTGCCAACCAACTGGTTGGTAAGGTCTCCTGCTGGTCATAGCGGAGACTTGGGATCGAATCCTGCTTGCACCTGGGTTGGGGGATGGGTTACCCCTCGTTGTGTAGCCCTTCAAAAGGAATAAAAAATATTTATAAATATATATATATATATATATATGTATGTATTTATTTTGGTTAATCTGATTTTTGGTTCAGTTTGGTTGAAAATTTTTTCTCAAACTGAACTGAAAACCGAAAACCGGTATTTCTAAAATGAGAACTGGTCAGTTGTTCAGCAGAGAGAGAAGTCGACGACTAAGCTGGGTAACAGCCATAAAGAAAACAAGCGGATTACTGGAAGTACCACACCCAACGTCAATGAAGGAAAAGTTGTAGCTTCGGTAGCTCAGGAAGATAAGTCCTCTAAACTTTATTCCTCCTCTTCTTGGATTTCTTCAAAATTGTTGGGTTTAGGGAAATTTCTAGGAGTTTTGATGGAGGGTCTGGAAGATGAAACAACTAAATTTTTGGAGGGGATTGAGCATAGGATTTTCATGGAAAGGGGAAAATTAGCAGCAAAAAAAGGGGGTATTGCTTCAAAAAAAAAAGGGAAATGATGAGATTAAATTGGGGGCTGAGTGACAGGGTGGGGAGCTACAAAGGCGGCAGCGAGAGGAAGTAAGAAGTAGCAAGGAGGTGGGTATCCTGTCTTCTTTTTTCTGGTTAGTTGTTAATGAAACTAAGAATATTATCTTGGAATGTTAGAGGACTGGGATGGGGTAGAAGGAGGTTGGTAGTGTGTGATGTTTTAAAAAGAGCAAAACTCAAATTCTTTTGCTTCAAGAGACTAAGTTGGAATCGATGGATGCATCAACAATTTGAAGTATTTGGGGGGAGGGTAATGTCAGGAGGAGATCCAAGCCGACAAGGGGCAGTGCTGGAGGCTTGGCCATCCTTTGGGATCCATCAGTGTGTAAGGTGGTATTTCACACTTTAGGTTTATTTTCTATTTCTTCTCTGCTGGAACTTGCCAATGGAATTAATTTGTGGTAATAGGGACAGAATTAAAGCACCTTTTAAATTCGAGAACGCTTGGTTTGAAGAGGCTGATTTTCTCCCTTTGTTAAGATCATCTTGGTGTGAAGTGCAGGTGGAAGGTTCTAGTTCTTTTGTTTTAGCAAAAAAGGTTGGGAGCAGTCGAGGAAAGAGTGAATCTGGAAACTGGAAAATAATCTGAACTCAGAAACAGAAAAAAGAGCATGCCTTAACCTAATTGAAGAAATTGACAGAGCGGAGGAAATGCGCCCAATTTCAGAGGAGTTAAGAATGAAGAGAACTCAGGCAAAATCTGTTTTTGATAAATTGGCAGTCAAGGAGGAATTAAAGTGGAGACAGAGAGCTAAGACAAATGCTAGAGAGCAGGAGACAGGAACACTCATTATTTCCATAAGATGGCAAATGCTAGAATCAGAACTTCTTCAATTAGCAAACTAATTTGGGAAGATAGGTGGGAGAATCAGTTGCAGAAATCAAAGTAATTGCCACTTCTTTTTATAAAATCCTTTATAAGGAGAATTGGAAGTGCAGACCTCTCCCTTTAAATCTCCCCTTTAAGCAGTTGAGTTAAGAACAAAAATGCTCCCTTGAAAGACCTTTTACTGAGGAGGAGATTAAGTCAGCAATCAGAAATTTGGAAGATGAGAAATCATCTGGGCCGGATGGTTTTTCAAATCTGTTTTTTGTCAAGAGTTGGGATTTTGTAAAGCAAGACATTCTAAATGCTTTTCAGGCCTTCCACTCAAGTGCTTCACTGCAAAGAAGCTTGAACAACACCTTTATCACACTTATTCCCAAAATTGAAGGGGCTATGCATTTAAAAGACAATTCATTGATCCGGTTCTAATTGCAAATGAATTGATTGACTCTAGGAGGAGGGAGGGGATTTCTGGTTTGGTGTGCAAACTGGATATAGAAAAAGCTTATGACCAGGTAAACTGGAAATGCCTAGATTTTGTGTTGGAAAAAATGAATTTTGGTTAAAAATGGAGGAACTGGATGAAAGTCTGCAAGGAGATCCTTTATCTCCTCTGTTGTTTATTTGTATTGTTGAAATCCTCTCTCTCTCTCTCTCTCTCCGGTCTGAAGGCAGCTGAATCTAGTTTGTGGGAAGGGTTTACAATTTCCCCAGGGGAGGAAAAAGTCAACATCCTCCGATTTGCTTATGCTTCATAGATGCATCCCAGGAGCAGTTGGAAAACTTACTAGGGATTCTCAGCTGGTTTGAAGTAGTGACAGGTCTGAAAGTCAACCTCAATAAGAGTCAAATTATCCCAGTGGGTCAAGCTCCTAATTTGGGGGACTGTGCTAGAGTGATGGCTTGTCAGGTGGAGCACCTTCCTGTGAAATACTTGGAGTTTCCCTTGGGAGCAAAATGTCCTTAAGCTATATGGGATCCAGTAATTGAAAGATTGGAGAAAAAGCTTTCCTCTTGGAAGGCAAAATATCTGTCTTTTGGAGGAAGAGTAACCCTTTTAATAAGTACCCTTTCAAATCTTCCTACTTATTTCCTTTCCCTTTTCCCTGTCCCAGCAAATTGGAGACTCTCCAAAGGAATTTCTTGTGGAGGGGTTGGGAGGAAGAAAAGAAGATTCATCATGTCAACTGGGAGCAAATCTGTCTTCCTATGGAAGAAGGGGGACTAGGTTTAAGGAAAATTAAGGTGACTAATTTGGCTCTTCTTAGTAAATGGATCTGGAGATTTTCCACAGAAAGGGGAGCTTGGTGGAGAAACCTGATAGCCGCCAAGTTTGGGGTAGAGTGGGGAAACTGGAGATAGAGAGATCCACTTCCTAATTTGGGCTGTTCTTTATGGAAAGGCATAATGAGATGTTTTCCCATGTTTAGAGAGGGTTTAAGCTTCAAAGTAGGTAGAGGAGACAGAATTGGGTTCTGGAAGGATCCTTGGTGCCTGGATTACCCCTTGGCTGAAGGTTTTCCTCTTTTTTATCAGTGTGCCACCAATCAGAATGCTTCGATTGCTGACTCTTACACCTTCTCAGGTAATAAGGTGACCTGAGCTCCACAGTTCAGAAGAAGTCTTTTTGATTGGGAATTGGTAGAAGTTATGAGATTGTTGGAAACTTTACGAGCGCAGAGAGTATTAACTGCAACCAGGATGATCAGTGGACATGGAATTGGTCTAAAGAGGGTAGCTTCTCAGTAAAATCAATGGCCAGTAAACTCAGTAGCAGAGCTGCAGTGGGAGCTTTTCCATCTATGCAGATTTGGAACTCAATCAGTCCCTCTTCCTGGTTTGGACTATGGCTTTAAATAAATGCCTGTCCAGAACCAACCTAGAAAGAAGAGGCTTGCAGATCTCTGATGACTCTTGATGTCCTGGATATCTGTCACTCCAGAAGTGACAGAATTGATGTCACTCCAGAGGAGATAGGGCAGGCAGCAGTCAGCAAATTGATGTCCTGGATTTCTGTCACTCCAGAATTCAAACATTAAAATGTCTTTCAATTGTTGAGTTCTCAGTCGATTTGGTGTTTGTAATGGGGGGTGACCCCAGGCCTGCCCTGTCCTTGGCAGGTTTCTGTTTGTATCTTTAAGATTTCTTATAAAATTACCTTACCTTTTCCAAAAAAAAATCACCAAATTGTACTGAACCGAAAAACTGAAGCAACATAACCAAATTGGATATTTGGTTTGGTAACCGAATTTGAACACCCCTACTGTAAGTTCCTATAGTTGAGTCATCATCATCATCTAAGCCTTGTCCCAACTGCCAATTTCAGTCCTATAGTTGAGTAATTTGATGGGAGCTATTCTGGAATTTCAGGACCTTGAAAGTTTATAGTAACAGGTAACTTTATAATTTTCTCAGTACAGGATAGTATTTTATTTTCCTCCCACTTTTTATTAATAACTATGATCAGGGATTTTATTAATGATCAAGATGGAGAAAAATTTTCTTCTAAATTTCTTCTTGAAGTTTCTCCATTTCAGGTTTAGATTTAAGATTGCAGAAGCAAATTTAACAAAAAGGATGGTGGATGCTAGTTTTTTATTGCGTAGGTTCATAAAGGTGGCAGTCATTCTATTGATCAATTTTTGTTTAAGAAAAGGCGGTTAATCTGTTAATGGCTGCACAATGCAAGGGTTGATATTAGAAATTTAGAATTCTATTGTTTTTTTTTTCAGAATTCTATTGTTCAATGTTTGCAAACTTGATTTTGCACGAGTAACACAAGTAACAAAAAATGGACCATGTTCTTTCCTAATAGTTTATGCACTTTTTTTTTGGGTAAAAGATAGTTTATGCACTTGTTCTTTTGACAAAGGTATAACTAGACTACCAGAATAACTTTTGAAATAATCAACAGTCTGAACTATATTTATCAAAAATTTTTCTGAAGTATCCATGCCATATCTGATCTCACTGTGTTAGTATTTTGTCATGTCAAATTGGTATACCGAACATATCTCCCTGTATCTAGGTGCCATAGAGCTGGGATGCCATATATATTGAGGGGTTTTTATTTATTTTCTGGTGATTATGCTTGATCAGTTCTTGCTTCCTCATGCTTTCCATCTTGTCCATTCATTGATTTAGCTTTATCTCATAAAAAATTTTGCTTAAAGAAAAATCAATTACAACAAAAGCATATGATTTCCTTCATCTGTAATTGATATTCATCTAAAATATTGGCTGGTATTTATGCAGGCTACAGAAGAGAGGTATAATAACAAGGGGGCGTACATTGTGTTAGAACCCCCCTATTTTGATGACCCAGTTTTTCATAGTTTCGTAGCCGTATTGCCTAGGCCAAAGGTATGACACATGACTGTTAAGAGTATTTTATATAGAGAGAGAGAGAACAAGGTTTCTTATTCTTCATGACGGGTTACCTTGAATTTTCCTTTCGTCTGTATGTGGGAATTTACTTTTGTTGTAATTGTGAGACAGGCAAATGCTTTCTATAATTACGAGGATGTGATTGATTCAGATGAAGAACTGGATTTAGCATCAATGTGAGTGCTTCCTGACGGGTCACCTTCACATGTAATTTAAAGGAAATGTATTCTTTGTAATTCGTATGTATTTATATACTGTCTTTGCACGTTCAATAGTTGTGCACAGTGCACACTTTTTGTGTTTCTCCCCTTTCTTACCTTCTTTGATTATTCTTCAAATATAGAGAGCATGTTAAATTTATCAAAGCGAGTATGTTCTGAAATTCCTTTTTGGAAATGGATTATATTCTTTTTCTTAATTTGAAGCAATTATTCAATATTGTTACACTTTTTTTTTATTACATCTTGCTAATTCATACAAAATTAAACATTTTTACGGACTACGGAGTAAACGAACCGTTTTTTTCGGTAAATCAACTTTACCGAACCTGAGGGAATCTGTGGCATATTTTCTGTCGACACTGACAGAATGCCTAAAAACATCTCAACTTCAATCAAAGCCTACTGTCACCAGTGATATGAATCACGTACAAATTTTTGGTAATACTCTCTTTATAAAACTACGGTTTCCCATTTTGCAGATCTCTCATTCTCTAAATTTCAATCAGACACAAAGGCACTAAGAGGGGGCTTCATGAACTTCATTCCCACTTGGATTTTGGATTTTGAGGAAGAAAGTTGGTCAATAAGATTTTGGTTTTCATAGATAAAAAAATCTGTTTTTTTTTTTGAGATTCATGTAGACTAAGAAAAGTTTTCACACGGGAAAAAAAATTATCACACTTAAATGAGACAAAATTATCCCTTTTAATATTAGATTTTTATGGCTAAAATAGATATTTACATGAAAAATAAAAACATGGATAAATGCACTTACTTGGGTAAATACATTTAAAGTCTTAGACATTTTATTTTCCCTCTAATTGGACATTTCGTCTTTAGGTCTAATTATAATAGGGGCTTCTTCAGTGTTTTTCCATCCGTGCTCTTTTGCAAACATCACGGGGCTTTACATGACAGAGATGTGCAAGTGGACAGAATGGGTTCCATCCTTACCGCCAGTATAGAAGATTCCAAGATGAATGCATCTTAGTCAATACTCTCTCAATACCTTGAACCATCCAATCGTCAAACTAAATAATTGGATTCAAACACCTTAAATTAGCGTGAATGGGTTTGGTACTACAGCAGAGGCCCCACCATTTATCTGGTCAAAGCCAATTGGGTCCATGGGCCAGGACATGCAATCCTAACTGCACGTAAGCATGGACCCAGCACAACTTCAGGTTAGGACGGGTCTTTCTTGGACTTGGAGAAACGATGGACAAGTGGCATCAGCAATGGACACCTAATTTACACCAAATACAGTGAAAATTTAGACAATGCCCTTGATCAATTTGATAAGAAATGGAGTAACCTCAATAATCGAAATATGTAAAACATCTTTAACGGTGAAGATTGCAACCATTCACACGGATTGCTCAATGGCAGCGAGCCACAAATAGCAAGTCAAAGACGCAGTCTTGAAGATATGCATAAAGTGATTAAATCCAGTGAAGTGTCCATCCATGGCTATATACAAACTACCAATTGAATGGCACAAGTTTGTCATGATCAATATATGATTTTTTGACTTCGTCATCGAACAGAAAGGGCTTTCCTAGTGTCTCCAAGCTAGCTAAGAACCACATCATTGTCCAACTATGTCAATGTAGTTTAACCTAACACAAGAAATTTACTTTAATCATGAACGGCAACTGCACATACCCAATTCAGAGCTTCATACTGACGCCTGGGACAATTTAGCATGTACTAGGCAAGCAAAATCTTGTATGCACAATTATGTCGAGGTTTCTCGTTTACATTGCAGAAATAGGCCAAAATCACTGCATCTACAGATCTGATTCAAAAGGCACACGTACAAACAACTGGCCATGCAGTGTAACAACAGCAGATGTCTGATGTGGATCAATTCTTGAGGGCAAATTGATAACCTGGAAAAACCCACTTCTACTGTGATGCATGATTTGAAAATCAAAGATGTTTGCTTTTATGCCCGGACAAATTAAAGAACAATGAAACAGCAGAATCAAATGTTTTACATAATTCAAAGGTAACAATTCAAGTACTAAATAATTAGATACATGGGAATTACAAACCCTTTAGATCAAGGTACAACCTATTTGAGATTTTGTGTTGTGAACGTAATTTAACCTTCCAGGAGGAATTAACTTGGCTTCAGCAATCTAGAGAAACAAGATTAGGTAATTTCCCTTTTTTAATCTAGGGAAACTAGGCTCTTGCATGATGATAGAAAAACATTTTTTTCATGCTGCCACCAAGTGTAGGAGAAATAACATGTGGCCCAAAGGAGGAGATGGCCGGTGGCTTAAGAACCAAAAAGACATTGTCAACAAACTCATTATCATATTTCTAACAACTCTTCTGTGTAAAAGATAGTCTAGCTTTGAAATTCTACAGTCTCCTCTGGTTCAACTATTAAACATGATGAGAATTCTTAACCGATAGTAATGCCCACCTTCAAGGGGGTTGAACAAGTTTAATCTATGGGTGCTTTCAAAGCCCTTTGGGTGGGTAAGATTCCCACCCTTATTTATCAAAAAATTTAGTCAACAGTGGGAGGGACAATTTCTTGGTGCAAATGAAAAATTATGAACATGAAAGGGCAAGTTCGATTTTGAGAGCAGCCATTTGGCATGAAAAAGTGCTGAAGGTTGTTAGGTCTGTATCCAGTCTACCCCTCCCAAAACCCAGATAGCTGTGACCATCGTAGGGAAATTGACGCTTGTGGAAGAGGACATATGCAGTATGATTTGTAAGTTTTTTTCTCAAAACAGAAGTCTGACGGGAAGACTACATCACACTGATATGGTTTAGGTCACCAAATGTGCCAGCTACAAGTTTCCACCCCATAAACCCATGTAATGTTCTAAACAAGATCATTGGAAAACTCCTTCCTAAAAGAATTGGACTACCTTTTGTTCCAAAGAGCCAAATTACAGACAATGTAACCAATGCTCATGAATTGATACATGCTATTCAGAAAAAGAATAGGAAAAGATGGATCCATGACTATAAAATTGACTAGGCAAAGGCTTATGACCTGCTAAATTGAAGCTTGTTTGTATGAATGCATTTGATTGGGTGAGGACACCCCTTGTCCTCCTTACCTTTTGCAGTTAATAATGGAGGTCTTGTCCCATTTGATCACCAAGGTAGTAGCAGATTGCAAAGCTGCTATCCTTGGAAACAAAAATTGCTACACCTACCCCCCATTACTCATTTAACATTTGCTGATGTTTTTTTTCACAAGCTAGAAAAGAAGCATATGCATCCACATTCATTCAAACATCCTCGTGTAAGATGGTGTTATTAAATGAGTAATAATAAGTGGATTTCTACTACAAAATTTGGGTATTACGTTGAAATTTTCTAATAAGAATCAAGCTAGATTAAACGGCCTTATTGATTAAGCCTCAAATTGATGGAAGGCAAATATTAATCACAAGCTGGGCAAACTTCTTTTTAATGCAGTAACCCAAGACACCCCCATTCATACCATGTCAATTATATTTCTTCCATAAGACTGATGAAAGATTGGAATTCAGTATCCTTCATTTAGGATTATGGAAGCCTACCATATAAATCAAGCACTCCTATTAAAATTAGCATAGAGGCTTATTGAAAATTCAAATTCCTATGAACTACGAATAGAATTTTACAACCAAAATCCCTGATAACATTCTTCTATATACTAATGGATGTACACAACGATCTCCTATTTTCAAAACCTATTAAAACCCTGGATGGCAGATAGTCTATCTTCTCTCTTAGTTGCCAATATGGCATTGTCCATGGATATAGATGAATGGACGGGTATTTTCCATAATGCATCCTTCATTTTTTCAAGGCATACTGATACTCCTAAGGTGAATGAGTTAATTGACCAGGATCTGTTAGACTGGAATGAGCCTATGGCTAGATATTTGCTTCCGGAAACTTAATGCAAATATTTATCTACATATATGCCTTTCTATTTCTGATAACCTCTAATGGTTCACTGCTAGCTCTAGGTATTTTTCTGCTGAAAACAATTGTAAGCATGCCAAGAAGAGCCTGTGCTTCCATCAATTCATCTTCTTCCTGTCTAGACTCCAAGCACAGAGAAGCTTCAATGGAGGAGACTAGCGACACCTGTAAAAGACGGTCCTTCAACCCAAAAAGTAATCTTCCTAGGTACCCCCTCTGGTTTAACTCCATTCAACAACAAGGCAGCAGCAGAGTGCAAACCTCCCCAAAACTCCCCAACAAGACGAGCTCCACATAATACAGCAATGGAGACAGCTACATCATGTCTCTAAAGATGGAAAGGCAGCCCAATCAGCCTGCCTACCACTCCATCTTCAATGACATAAGATTTCAAATTAGAAGGAGACCATTTATACAGAGTAAAGGATCACATGTCCTCTTGAGTGCTTAAAGCCTCAACTTCCACCAAGTTTCAAGAGGATTCAATACTGCCTCATACTATCAAAAAGAGTTAAGATGAATGTCTTCCTTAATACCAACTTACAAATCAAGATATCAGCTATCAGCCTCCAATCCTTAATCGGACTCTTAGCTTCAACCACTAACATTTTAGTCCAGTGATCTTTACAGAAGTTTGCATTCAACAAAGGGTTACTGTTGCCATTTGCCACAGCTAGGAAACCCTGGGACCTAGGTGAGACTCCCACCCTCCATTGCTGATAAGTTTCCAGCAAATAATCCCATGTCTTCTTCTGCAGTTTTCCCTTTCTCCATCTGTAGATTCCTTCAAACTGTAAATGCAGTAAAAATCTCAATCACTCCTCACTATCCTTCGACTGTTTTTCCCGGCAGGGAAGCAGGCCATTTGTTTCCTTCCTTTGTCACTCTGTTAGGGAGATGAATAACCCCTTTGCATTCGGTTTACTTTCCACTACATATCTTCTACCTGACTTTGTGTGGTTTTCCTTCCAACAGATCTGTTTTCCTTTCGTTGCTGCTTCATTCAAGAAAACCTTAAACCATTTGACCATCTCTAAGCCTTCCACCAGAATTGTAGCCTTCTTAGATTCTCTTATCTTCAACTTGTAACACCCTTTGATTCTTATTTCCTTGAAGATGAAGTCTTTAGCTTCCACTTTCATGGCCTTCATCTTGTAGCCTCCTCAAAGATCTGAGATCTCTCCATCTCACACTGATCATCATTAAAAGAACCAGAAAACCTCCTAAGCTATGCATCTCCATAGTGACCTCTCGGATATTGTATGTGAAGTTTCGTCTTGAAGAGCTTCCCTTCAAGCATAATTAGGGGCCGTTTAACAAGTCTTTTTGGGAAGATCTTCTAGTAGCTCTGACAGTCAATAGACGCACTGAGCTTTTGACATAAGATCTGGGCAGCCCGAAGACCATTTGGCAGACACATCTTTCCGTGCGTCGTTTCGGGTCTTTCCGCACGAGATTAAAACGTGAAAGACGCAGGAAGCTTCATTTGGAGCTTCCCGAAATCAGCCCAAAATGGGCTTCGCACTTCTTTTTGGCGCCACGTCTTTTGGCAGCTAGATCTTCTGCGTGCCAAACGGGAATAGACTGATTTTTGGTATTCCCGGCTTGTAAACAGCTGAAAGACCGTGCAAAAAGACGCACCAAACAACGCCCTAGTTTGGCTACCGCGCATCTTTCCGTGTCTTTTCGCGCGACAATACAGCGAGAAAGACGCGAAAAGCTCCATTTGGAGCATCCCAAAATCAGCCCAAAATGGGCTTCTCACGTCTGTTCGGCGCACCAACTTTTGGTGGCTAGATCTGTTACGAACAAAACGGAAAAAGACTGTGGCATGGTCTGCCTGGCTTGTAAACAGCCAAAAGATCGCAAGGAAAGATGCACCAAACAGGGCCTTGGTTATTATAAGCCCTCCAGTTAAGCAGTCATAAGTCGTCAAAGAGATAAATAACCTCAGACAAGATTATAAGCAATTACTTGACACTCATAATAACCTAAGCCAACATTATATGCAATCACTCCACAATCATTATAACTAAAACGAATTCGTTCAGCACTTGACAGAAATGCAAACACGAACCAATCCCTTGAAACAAAAACAACTCGAGTGGCTCAATGAAAGATACAACCCTATCATTCAACAACCCATGAAAGAATTACAGCACGAAAGAAAGAACCACCGAAGTGATCAGATAACACGGTCCTAGAAAGGCCCTTAGGTAGGGACAAAGTTGAACAATGCATTACAGTAAGCCTCTTTAAGAGGAGGGGGAAGAAGAGGAAGGAGGATCTCATTTTTCTTTATTCTTAATAAAAATATTTTATATTAAGTATGAAGATGCATAGAAAAGGGGCAGGGGGTTTGGGGGCGGAGCCCCCAGCCCTCTTTATTTCCCCTTATCTTCCCTTCCCTTCCCTTTTCTCGCTTTTCTCTTTTTTCTTTTTCTTTTTCTTTTCTTTCCCTTCTCTCCTTTCTTTTCCCTTCCTTTACTTTATTTTCCTTTTCCTTTCTTTTTTCTGTCTTTTTGTACTAAATGTGCATGAGAGGCACATGAGGTGTACACCTCAAGCACACTTCATGAAAAAAGGCATAGGAGGTGTACACTTCCTACCTGAGGCACATGCCTCAGAGGTATCAACGCCTCTGGCATATGCCTCGGGGCATTTTGGGTGGGCCTCACTTGGACGCGCACCTCCAGGCGTATTCCTCCCACATCTTTTAAAACATTGATCTTTTTTTTGATAGATATCTTTTAAAACACTGATCTTAGCAATGCTTAGATATAAGAAATTATTGGAATTTTTAGTATTTTGTATGTAATTATATTTGGAAAGTTGGAATGTTCTTATCATGAACAAGCTACCAGATCCTATCAATGTTCTCCATATGGTTCAAAGTATTGATACGCCTCTGTGTATCGATACTTAGATACATGTTTTTTTTTTTCAAATTTTGGTTTTTGGGGAGTTAAATACATGCATTTTTCATTAAAAAAGAGTGGGGTCCCGAAACACCTGTAAACAGGCGTATCAGGACCCAAAAGATATGATACAAGGTGTATCTTATCGAAATTTTGAACCTTCGTTCTCCATCATGCTCAATTGGTTTCCAACAAATGGATGGTTATGAGAAACATGACTCAACAAAGTCTTTTGTTATCTATATATACTACAATGGGCAAAACCACTCTAATACTATATAGGTGTAATGTGTCATGCCACCGGTACTGTAGCGGGCCACATGCTGGCACGACCTGATAGATCAGAGAGGGGGCCAAAAAACCCAGGCTTGTGGCCCATTGGCCCGTGCCAGGCCATTCTGTGGGCTGGTACGAAATCATTTTTATAAATGAAAAAAATAAACACACACATATGGGTCATGTCGCCCCATGAGCAGCTCAACACACACTCAATTTGGTTCCTTTCTAAGCAGAGAATGACTGCAAGAGTCACCATGGCTCTGCACTGCATGGTCCTTTAAAAGTATCCAGTGAAAGCTCTTCAGGAAGGAATCCATCTAGGAAAGTTGTCGGAGCTTAACAGCTTTTGTTGGCATCAAATTCTTTAGTAGCAATTGCAATCTTATGGATTGGCATAACCAAATGGATATTTTACATACACACACACACACACACACACATATATATATATATATTAGATGACATTTTGGGCGTTGACAATTTCTTGGATATTGAATCTTGTCAAGTGATCACTCAATCTATTTGGTGGTAGATAAATAGCCCAGTTCTTTTTAAAGAAGATAAATACAGACCTTTTTGAACGGTGTGACACCCCATGGATTATCTGGTTGCTCTGGTTCACCAGATATAACTAAGCGCCCAGCTGGATCTGACTGAACACGTACCTGCACATGCAAACGAGAAGTAAGAATTAACTTCATGGATTATATATAAGACATTTTTGCAGTTTGATAGCATAACATCCTTTTCTAAATGTCCAATTCATTTTCAAGATGTTAAAAGTACTAATTGAAGTGGAATTATTGGCCGTTTTTAGTTGCTTTCCTCATATTCCCAGCAACTGTATAAGATATTGAGGGCTCATTGTGGCCACTACGATCTGATTTTCTTCTCGTCCCCCTTTCTCTTGTTCTTCTTTGTATGCAATTTTTTCTCATCTTTCAACACCAGATGCAATTTATTCTTTAATTGATTGTTGTTGATTTTTTTTTTGATAGATAAAAACTTGATTGTTGTTGATTATTCAACAAGAAGACTTGATAATGATGAAGATGTTGATTTGCAACTTTGCATTTTCATCAACCATGAATATTTGTATTTGCACTCTTCACAAATGGAACCTAAGGAATGATTTAGACTGCGTTTGGTTTAAAGGAAAAAATAGGGAAAGGAAGGGAAAGATAGGAAAACCTTCACAAACCTTGTATAGGTTTCCCTGCCTTTCCCTATCTTTTCCTTCAAACCAAACATAGCCTTAGTGAAATAGAAAGCTATAAAGGAGTAAGGGAGGACCAAAGAAAACATGACCTGAAGTGGCAAGAAAAGATCTAAGGACTTGCTATTAGGCAAAGGCACGGCTCTTGATGGCAAGAAATGATCTTATGGTGCAATTCCCAACACTCTAATTGTTATCAAACCATAAGGCTGAACCTGTTTCAAGTTTTGGCTTGCCCTCAGAACATGGGTTAAACTAGGACTTTGGTTTCAAAGGGGGTTGAGAGATTTTGAATGTGAATCCCTTATTCTCCTAATCTCTTTATTGGAAAAGGTTTGGTTGGACCAAAATCTTTTGGATAGTAGAATTCAGTACCCCTCACCTTATGGTCTCTTCTTGTGCATCCTTCTCTAACCTTCTTATCTGCTCTGGTCCTGTGGGGGTCACTTTCCCTGTGAGAGAAATCAGATGCAAACAAATCCCTCCCAAAGTGCAGCCTCTTTGTTGGGAGATGTTCCTTGGAAAGACTAACACCGGTGATGTGCTACAGAAAAGAAGGCCAAATACTTGACTATCTCCTCATATGTGTTTCCTTTGTAAGGCCAGTGAAGAGACCCTTCCCATGTTCCCCATTTACTAATCTCTTGCTCCTTTGTGACTTGCATTTGGGAATACTTTTATCTTCCCTATGGTTGCAGATGAGTTCCCCCACAGGATGTGGTTAGTTTGTTCAACTCTTTATTTGGGAAGAAAAAAACCAAAAGATCATTCATAAAAAGAAAAAAAAAACAAAGGTTCTTCAATGAGAAGACTAAGTCAAAGAAAGAAGTGATTGAAACCATTAAAGCAAGTTCTGTAGATTGGGCAAAAACATTGGAACTTTTCATAGGTGTCTCTAGACTCTCTACAAACAACTTGTTATGGAAATGGTCTGAAGTGGTACAGACAGATACACAAAGTCGTGAGAATGGAATGGAAACCTCCAGAGTCAAATAAACTAAAACTAAACTTTGATGGCAGCTCCTTTGTCAATCAGGTAGGGCAGGTATGGGGACTCCAGATCTCTTGCCAACAAGGACTCTACCCACAAAACACTACCTCCATGCATTGGGAACATCTCCCCATGCATAATAACATGTAAGAGGATGAGATGTTCCCAATGTGTGGCTGCGATGTTATGTGCGTAGGTGTGGGTAGAGTTGTTGCACGTGGGAAATCCTGACTCGGGTATAGGGGGAGTCTTTTTTGGTAAGTGTATAGGGGGAGTCTTTAGAAACCATCAAGGAGTTGTAGTGGCTTTGTTCTTGGGACCAATTGGATTTGGAGAATTTTTTTATCAGTAACGGCTTAATTTATTAAGAATAAGAAACTTTAATTACAAGAGATGGGGAGGTAAACTTTCTTAACTCCCCCATTTTAGCATAACAAAAAATACAAGATTAGAAATGAGCCCAAAAGAAAGATCCCCTATTCATCCCTTGCTTGGCTAACCCATCAGCAAGTGAGCAGTTCTCTTTACCCAACCGTATTTCACCTCAATGTCCCTAGTCAGCCACTTAGATTTTTTCTTTTCATTGTTGTAGTTCCAAATACCAGAGTTGTCTTCCTTTAGCCATCTCACCACCACCTCTGAGTCACCTTCAAACACCACTTTTCTTAGGTTTAGCTACCTTGCTCTTTGGGCACCTTCCAGAGCCACATGGATCTCAGCCCTAAGAGAGTCTCCTTCTCCAATTGGGCCAGAGAAAATGGCTATAATAAGCCCCTTTTCATTCCTGAGTCAGAGAGCCCTGGATTCCTTAAATACTTCCATCAAAATTCAGCTTCATGAATCCAGGTGGGTGAGAAGTCCAAGAGGGAGAACAAACCGCATTAACCTGGGCAGAATTAGCTATTTCTAACCAATTCCTCATCAAGTCATCCAAGGAAAAAACTGTAAAAAGGTTCAGAGATTTCAGCCAGTGTGCCACCCTTACAAGTATCAACTTCATTAAGGCTGAGATAATGGCTCTTCTACAAGGACTAAAACTAGCAGTACAGCAAAGAATTAAAGAGCTGGAAGTAGAAGACTCCTTATTTGTTATTTCTTGGGTCAAGAAAATCAACTCAGCCTCTTGGAAATACAGATTTGTGTTTAGGGAAATTGACTTGCAAAGAGTTTGAACACTAGTTTTGTCTAGGATAAAAGGACAAGAAATCAGGTGACAGATGTCATAGCAAAACAGGGAGCTCATAGATCTACTTTATTTTGGGCAATGTTGTAATCTGTTAGTTGTAAAACAGGGAACTAACAAACCTAAGCATTGGGGGCAAGCTGTATTAACTGAGTAGCTAAAACACTTGTATCTAATCTTAGACTTTAATAAAGTTTATCTTGCTGATAAAAAAAAAAAAAAAAGAAAACCATATTTCCTTGATGAGCATGGCAAGTGGTTAAATTACATCTCATTTACTAATCTCCAGCACTTTTCCTCATTTACTAATCTCCAGCACTTTTCCTCATTTACTAATGCAGGTGGAATCAACTTGGAGAATTGCTAATTAAGGATTCCTTCTTTGCTCCACAGAGAAAAAGAGGGAAGATCCTTGGAGGTGTGCAAGGAAAACAGTATTATGGGCAGTTTGGGAAGAGAGAAATGCTATAATATTCAAAGGAGAGACACACACAAAAGAAGCTTTGATTGACAATATCATGGAAAAGTAGCTCATTTGCATAAAATAACTTAGCCTTTTCAACCCTTTCTCTTTGGATGGCATTGTTCAGGGTCTGCAACATATAGCCTCTTCATCCTAACAAGGAGCATAATCACTCTATATTGGAGCCCCCCCCCACCTGTCTTTTTTTTATTGGCTTGGAGCCCCCTCTCATAAGCTTTATAAAATTAAACTTCAGTGGGCGCAGCATGGGAAATTTGGGCTCTTCAGGCATTGAGCGAGTGACTGGGATTCTTTAGAAAAAAGGATGATGGTATATATATATAAAAATATTGGATGGATGAAATTGGTAGGCAAAGCATGTGGCAATATATACATACCCTTCAACAAGTACAAAGCTTGGCCAGAGACCTCCGAGAACCCCCTATTTGCTAATGTTATTCATTCATTCATTGCAATAAAATATCTTCTTAAAAGGCAATGAAAGCTATAAAATCATTATTTTTTATGTGAGAAATCAGAGTTTCAGACCCTAACATAGACTTTCCTGGGCTTGCCTCGAGGGGCGTGGTACAAAGGCGACTCATAGAATCAAGAATGCAATATGTTTTACATCACATTAGCTACTTGAAACAATGCAATTAAGAAGAATAAGAGACTTTGGGTTTTACATGCTTGAAAATGCTTTATATGTTTGCTTTTATTTTTAAATTTTCATTTGAATACACTTTACATGTTATGTTTATGTATTTTAATTTTAGATAATAGGTTTTTTAAAACATTTATTTTAAAATTTAAGTTTATATTTTTATTAACATTATGTTTATTATTTTTTGGCATTTTCTTGAATTTTCTGACTTTTTTTTGTAATTTTGTGACTTGCTTATAAAGGCATGCACCTCGCCTTGCACCCTGCGCTTTTAAAACACTGGCCTGAACCACACCACACCCTCCAGAACACCTATGTGGGTGTGGTGTGGTTCAGGTCACCAATCTTTTACCACAGTACAGAACACTTATTCTGCTATGGCATGGTGTGTTCTCAACCACACTACAGAACACCCCCCTTCATTTGTGGAGCTCAGAGATTGGCATCTCACAATATATCATGTCGATAACCACCTTGTACATAATTCCCATTTCACATAATATTAAAATAAGGCGTAGAAGCAAATTTGAAGCTATCTTGACATGTAAGGGGCCTAATGGAGAAGAAAACTCGATTGAAGTGGGAGTACCATTATTTTTGCAAGGTCTAAAACTTGCTACTCCATCAGATTAAACCATGCAGCAACAGAAAGGGACTCAAGTAGTAGTAGGATGGATGCTCTTTTCAGATGATGGATCATGGACATAGATACACTATTAGATAGACAAACATCTCTGATTTGGTCAAGTGTTTTAGTGTGAGTGTATGTTAAACATCTTATGGTGATGGTAGAAAAAGGTCTCAACAGGAGATTGCGCATACCTCTTCACGCAGAAGCCCAGGAACTAAAGCATAGACCTCGAAGCAATCTTTCTGTACAGAAAGCAAAGTTTCAATTCAAGTTGAACTTCAATCATAAAAATGGTACATCTGGCGTACATAAATACATCCTCCATGCATACGCAGATAGATAAGCTTACAGTTCTCAGCACATTGATCTTCACCCAATCAGCTGGGGGTCCAATATCAACAACCATTGTTTCCATTCTGGCATAGAAACCGAGTTCGGTTCAGCTTTAAGTACAATTCACCTTGGGAAATAATACAAAGAAAAAAATGCACTAGGAATTAAAGCAGTGGTGTTCTTTTTCATCTTTTGAGAGAAAGGACAAGATTTTATATATGTAAGGGGCAAACTGCAGTAACATAGAGTTCTACACATATGAGGGCACTGTGTACTAGCTCATCCCATACTCATTTCAAAGTAGCATGCACATGCAACCCACACTTAAGTTTTTCCCTTCCGTGTGGTGGTTTTAGTTTAACCACTTAGAATCAGAAAAGTAGCAAATAAAGAAACCAAATTTACTCAGGGATCTTAACTGTGGCTTTGCAGCTTTTGTATGCATAGCTTTGACAGCACGCTCCAGGCTAGATGGTTTTTTACGTTTATGTGAACCTGTATAGATTTACATTAAAACATAAAAAAAAGGATAAAACACTTATAACTTGCTTGGTATGCTAATATTTTTAAATTCCTACAGGAAAAAAAGGATAATATTTTTAATAATGGTGATCCAGATACACAACTATACCAATGTTTTTAAGCTGCTTTTCTCGTTTTTGCATAGAAATAGAGTTTTTATCCTGCAGAAACAAAGATGGCTATATTGAGTGGGTGTCACGAAAAAGAAACCACATGGGAATACAAAAGGGGGACATGAGATCATCATTTAAAGATACCTTCACAGACCTTAATAATTGGGTCACCAACCTCACCATTACCAAGAAGACGCTGTGAGTGCCAACCCTGCATAGCACGAGCTGCAGCATCTCTTCGTGCCCTTCCTGATCCTGATGTTTGATTAACACCCACCTGCTGATAATATTTTCATATAACTGTAACATTATAGCATTAAAATGCAAAACGAACAATATAATTTTTATCAATAACATTGTTTTAAGAGGCTTTTGAGGCGAGGCAAGGCCTAAGCCTCAAGGCAAGGCTAGGAAAAAAGGCCTGGTCTCAATAGCCTCAGTCCCCACCAGCAAGGCTTAGACCTTGAGTTGTTTGAGGCTTACACCTTTGGGCCTTTGGCCTCAAAATGTCCAAGGCTTAGGCGTCAACTATTCAGCATGCTAATGTGGAATATGAAGGCTTACATAGGGGCAAACATAAATTTAAGACAAAAAAGCCTTGTTTTGAATATATTGGTGTAATGAGAAAATAAATAAGCATATATAAATAACAAAAACTTGCATATAAAATGTGTAGGAAAATAGCTTGCTTTATTCTTACCCATTTGCCCATTTATCTCACACTTGATGATCTGTTTCTTCTAAAGCACATGCATCATTTAGATGGACACTCTTCACTAATGCATACTAGTGCAAGAAAGGAAATAGGAATGCCTTGTTCTTAAAACAATGTTGGTTCATACCCCTAAATTGAAAAGTTTGAGTTCTATGGTTTTGTTGTTCTAGGAAAAAAATAAAAATAGGGAAAAAAAACTACTTTGGTAAGATTCTAACTCAAATTGTAGTGTCTCTTTGGGGCAATGTTTTAAAAAACGACTTGGAACCAGAACCATTCTGGCCATCGGTTTCCAGGTCAATGATTCGAAGGGACAGCCCATTCTGACAAAAAATTAAAATATTAAAAAAATAATTAAAAAAACGGCCAAAAACCGCTGAATGGGTCGAACGGGTTGACGGTTTGATTGCCCGGGTCAATGGGTCGTTGACCAATTCAAAAGTTTTGGCCAAGGACCGGGTTTGGGGTAAAACGGAACCGGTTGCCTGGACAGTTCCCGGGCCAAACAGTCCAACCGCCTAGGTCAATGGTAGTTCAAAAGCCATGCTTTGGGGTACCAACAGTTTTTAAAAGCGGAAGGCGCAAGGGCCATTTTGTGCCTGAGGCGCAAGGTGAGGCGCGCACCTTTTTGAGGCAAGGCACACAATTAAAAAAAAAAGCTAAAAAATTTAAAAAAAAATGTCAAAAAATTCAAAGAAATGGAAAAAAAATCAAAAAATTATAAAACATAATATTAATAAAAATATAAACTTAAGTTTTAAAATAAATGTTTTAAAAAACCTATTATCTAAAATTACAATGCATAAACATAATATGTAAAGCATATTCAAATGAGAATTTAAAAATGAAATCAAACATATAAAACATTTTCAAGCATATAAAACCCACAATCTCTTTTTTTCTCAATTACATCAAGTACCTAATGTGACATATTACATTCCTAATTCTACGAGTTGCCTTTGTGCCACGGCCCTCGAGGCAAGCCCAAACAAGTCCATGTTAAGGTCTTAAATTCTTACATTTCACACACAAAAAAAAATAATGATTTATAGTTTTAATTGCTTTTAAGAAGATATTTTATTAGGATGAATGAATGGACAGCATTACCAAATAGGGGGTTCTCGAAGCTCTGGTAAGACCCTAACATGGACTTGTTTGGGCTGGCCTTGAGGGGTGTGGTACGGGGGCCCAGCCACTAGACTCAAAAAAAGGAAAAAGCATCAAATTTTCAAAAGGCACGCCTGGGCTAAGGCGCAAGGCGCACCAAGCATGCGCCTAGGACTTGGGCAAGGTGCCTACCCTAAAATGCGCCTCGTCTATGCGCCTAGGCGCGCCTTTTAAATCACTGGGTACCGATACCCCTTTTTAAAAGTATTTAAAAAAACTCTTTTTAATAATTAAAGAATATAAAACTAAGCTTCTAAAATAAAATAAAATAAAACTAAAAAAAGGTATGCATGATTCTAAGTGTTGATACTCAATACATCCCTTTCATCATATAGGGGTGTATGAATACTTTGAACCATGAATCCTTGTAATGTATCATATAAGCCAATATAAGATCCTAATTTTATGTTTTCATGTCTTTATTGTTTATGGATTATATCCTTTTCCTTTTTTGCTCAAGGCTTACGCCTCAAAACCAATTGAGGCTTACACCTCGCCTCCGCCTTTAGCCTTTCAAAACCTTGATCAATAAAAATGAACAAGATAATTAGTGTTTTGTAATATAACAGTTGTGGCTTGTAGGGGTGAGCATTATTCAGTTAAAACCGAAAAAGCGAACCAAAAATTTTGGTTTCAGTTTGGTTAACCAAAAAAACCGAATTAGCCAAACTTTATTATATAGTGCATATATAATATGTATAAAATGTATTATAGCATATTATATTATGTATTAAAATATATAATTTATTATATACATTGTATAATATATATTTTTTAATATATAGTATATATTATATATTAAATTATACACTACAATATATATTAAAATAAATACATTGTTGAAATTCGGTTTTAACCGAAAACCAAACCGAAAATTTCAGTTTCGGTTACTTTGGCCTTTCAATATTTCGATTTCGGTTTGGTTTTTCATTTAAAATTTTGGTTTATTTGGTTCAATTTTTAACTGAATAAACCGTTTGCTCACCCCTAGTGGCTTGTCTTACAATTCGGGTCCCAAGCCCTGATGATGATGATGGCAGCCAACACCCTTTAGCCAATCTAATATAAATATGAATCTCTTAAATCATTTTTGGCAATGCAAGGTCACTTCACATTTGACAAAAAAACATGGCTCTTGATAGAGCACACTGAAAGGACGGTATTTTTTAGCCTACCCCAAGTAGTTGGGATCAAGGCTGAGATGAGTTATAAAATAAGGGTTTTATTTACAAATGATGATATGCCTTATATTTATATAAGAAACTATTTTGCAGACACAACCATCTAGACCCTAGAACAATTGGTAAAGTCCTTACCAATAAAGCAAGTCACAAAAGATTTAGAGAAGTCATCTAGGCAACACTTTAATCACACTGTTAAAGCCTAAGGCTTATCTTTCTCTAACTATGGCACAATACATGTCACAAAGAAGAAGCCACTTTTTCACCAATTATTATATAAAGATGCTAATCATTTACAAGATTTCAAGGCATATAAACATGATAGGCAAATGACTGATATAGTTTAGAAATTAAATTCCAATTTGCTTGGAATTCAAGTCTTATCCCAACTATATGGGGTCAGCAACATGAATCCTGTTTTTCCATTCAGTTACGGGCACTTAAATCATTTCTAACTACTTCGACCCATGTCAATTTCAGTTTGTCATCAGGATGATAAATCGTCTCTCCATTAGCAATCCCCCCTTCAATGTGATTGACAGGGAAGTCCCAAGAAGATTAAAGGACTTTTTCAACCACAACCTCATTTTTGCCTATCATAAATGCATTATTTTACATTCATAATAAGAATATAAATGTTATAGTTTAACATAACTTAGATTCATAAGCACAAAGCCAAAATAGCTAGAACCATTAAGCATAAAACAAATGCCTGTATTGGTAAAATAAATAGATCCTAGAGCAAACAAAAATTTAAAACTGACCTGAGTTTCAGTAGGTTCTCTAAGTGAAATAGCAGGGTCACATAGTTCGCTGCCATGCAGTTTATGCCTTTCATAGTCAAGGAGTGCCTGCAAGTGCTGAAAAATGAGGATACAGGCCCATGGGCATATCGAAACATAGAAAAACAAAGTCAAAGCAACAATAGAAAAGAGAAGCCTGAAGCCCTACAAAGAACAATGCGAAAAGTATCTACAAGATTCTCAGTAAAAAACACTTTGAGCAAGTATCCATAATTTCATATATATGGCTGTATATATTCATGAATGTATTTGTGTATGTGTGCGCATGTGCATGCAAGCATGCATATGTGTTTGTGATGTGAATGCAAGAGGTCCAATGGCATATATAGTTTCCTGATGACACAGCATTAATTCATGAAACTAGAGAGGAACTAAATACAAAATTACATTTATAGACAAATGCCTCAGAAACAAGATGTTTTATTCATAAAAAAGAAAAATATGTTTTTAAAATAGGTAGGACTAAAACAGAACATGCAATGTGAATTTAATAATAATAGGAGTGAACATAAGATAATAAGGTTACACTTGTAAATGGAGACCAAGAGATATCTCACCACAACATCTTTCATTATCTTGGTTTAAAAACCCATGACAAGGGAGAGATTGAGGAAGATGTTACCCGTATACTTAGAATAGGAATGGGCAAAATGGAGAACACACGCTTAAACTAAAAGAAAATTTTATAAAGCAATGCCAGGAATGTTCTAGGGAGCAAAGTATTGAGTATATCTAAAATATGTGTATAGAAAATGTGAATGTTGAGATGGATGAGTAGACCAACCAAAATGGATGAGATGCTGGTCTGGCACCTAGAACAACCCTCGCCTCTTAAGGGTGATAAGAAACGCCATGTCCAAAAAATGAGTGCAGCATAAATGCAAATGGTGAGATAGATGAGTAGACTTCCTCAACCCCCACCTGTCCCATGAAGACCGTCACAATGTTCTTGACTTCCTCAAATTCATAACATAATCAAGATGAAAGGATGCATTTCTAGAGAGACCTTCGATGACAAACTAGGGATATTCCCTATTAATGGTAAAAATTTCTAGGATGTATTCCATTATCATAAGCATTTTCGCTTTGTCTTGTTTCAAGTGTTCCGCTATGACATTATGAAGACACCGCTTGATACTAGAGTCTCCTAGAGGCATGATGTAGACTGTTTAGCTGTATCCACTAGATCACACTGTGACACAGTCAAAACCACACCACACACCATGTGGCGCTCTATAGCATGTTTTTACTACAGCAAACCCTATAAGTGCAACAGTCAAATGTAAACATTAGAGTATGAGATATAATGGGGAAAAAAACTAATGTAACATCATCCAATCTACAGTTATATGGACAAAGGCATGAAAGTTTACCAAACACAAAAAGTGACAATATGCTGTGGACCAAAACCATGTAAGGATGATCTCAAAACATGCAATGCCCTCAAACAAACATCAAATAGATATGGCATGTTTCAGAACCCACTGATCCACTAAAAAAATTATATAACGAAACCAAACACCACCAAAGTTGAAGGATGTGTAGATCCATTTGCTGATTTAGGTGTCATTATTGTTCAAGTTGGATCTGATACAGGGTGTGAGAATTGGATACTCAAATTATTCTTTTTTTACCAGTAATACTCAAATTATTCTTTTTTCCCTTCTCCCATCCCCCCTCAATTTCTCCTCCAAAAGTATATTTGTTTGGCCCTGCCCCCTCCAAGGCTTTTTTTTCTAGGAGATGATGGATTTGAAAAGTAAAACCTGTCCAATTAGGGAATCCCTAATTGCTGCCTTTCACTCCATATCATCATATTGTCTCCTGTATAAATCATGCCATAAAACCACTCATAATAGTCTTCTGCTCATTTTTATCTGTTACTTAGTATTATTTCATATCTCTAACTCGATGCCATTGGCAGACATTGATAGTGTATTCGTCCCTCTTTTTCCTCCCCACCAGAAAAGGGTAGAACCCTAAGGTGCTGCATAGGAGCTATTATTCTTTGGACTTAAATGGGAAGAATTTAAGGCCAGGATTTTTCTGATCAGAGACAGAATACAGAAGAGTTGATAAAGTTATGGTCGTTCAAATGGTCTGTTGGGTTAGATCAAGAGCAGAATTCTGATGTTCAGACTGCTGACACATTGAGAGCTTGGCATATTCCTGCATCTTTCTCTACTTCCAGAACCAAAACAATACAGACATTGAGTCAACCACCAAAAAGTGGCATTAAGCTAAACTCTACTGGTACAGCTTACATCAGAAAACCATCTTTTGGTTTCAGTTTTGAACAGAATTAAATTCATGTCATAATCAAAATTTTAGATCTCGATGGCCAATATCACCTTCTCATAGAAGCAGCGGAAAGACCAAGAGACAGTGGTGCAAGTCCTGCCATTGGGAAATTGTGTAAGTAAATTATCAATGGAATCAACAAAATCAACAGAGCTTCCAAGAAGTCAATAGCTCCAAAATCTAAACATAAAACAGTGCTAAGAACCTACCATAAAGAAAGTTCACGATTGCGATGAAAGTTTTACCACTTACAGACATGAAACTCATGAAGATAACATACTAGAGACATAAACTATAGGGATACAAAAATCAAAAGGAGCATCGTAATTATTTACTTTGGTGGTTTGAAGGACTCTCCTACTTGTCGCCACAGTTTGCATGAGGTCACCTATACAGGCGTGTAGAAGGTTGGTTAGGTTCCCTATAAACAAAAAAGGTTCCAAGTAGGTCTGGAACTGAAATCCAGTGCTCCGAGTTTGAAAATTGAAAGTTGACATGAAACATAAACCATCAAGGAACAACTAAAAAAAATACTAAAAGCAGCTCTAGAAAACACCGTGCATACCTTGTCGTAGCCACCCAATCTAGTCACAGCTCTCCATAACCTTCCACAACAAGTAACAAAAAAATAATTAATAACGATAATTAAAACAGACTGAAAAAAAAAGCCTACTAACAAAAAAATTGAAAAAAAAAATAAAAACTTACTTGAGGCAATTCAATCCCTCTCCATAAAACTTGGGAGGCTTGAATTCCAAGTTCCTCTCCCTGAAAAAATTTTCAAGTTCCTTCATAAATGCAGCTTGCTCCTCCTCAGTTCCCGATTCATCGCCCGCAGCAAACGACTGGTTAGAGCCCTCCATGTGAACCGCGCATTCCTCCACCGCCCCAATTTGTTTCGATTCTGCCTCTTTAAAATCATTGTCTTCACGCGGAACTACCTCATTTCGATTCACCTCAGTCTTAGAATCCTCCGCATTTTCATCCTCAGTTTTAACAAGTAGACATCCAACATTTGGAGCAGCAGCTTCGACTTCAACCCGGACGCCAGAACCGTTATCCTCAACGTCGCTTTTATATTCATTCAGCCCATTGGCATCAGCGCAGGTGTTGGCAACAATGGGTTCAGGAGCAGGTTCAACCGAACCTTGATCATTGCTTAAACGAGCCTCTCCTGGTAATTCAAGATTCTTATCATCCGACGAAGATTCCGGTGTCGGCGGCAACTCCGGCAAAGACTCCGCATTTTCAACACGGTTTTGTTTCTCCTCCAAGTGAGGCTTTTGTTCTTCATGTTCAACCTTTACATCAATCGGTCCGTTATCTAACGAATCAGGTAAATCTTGTCCCATTTATTCGACTAAGAAACACAATTGCAACGCAGTTCTCCTCTACGGCGAAATAAGCCCTAGAGTAACCACATTTCACGGTTCCAATTAAATGGTAAGAAACTCTTCTGCAGAACTCAAAAACCTAATGTTTTCTAAATACTTAAGAGTTCACCTACAAAAGAAAGAGAAACAAAACAATTTCTCAGGACCACCTGCAAAAACTAGACATACATTTTCTCTAAAAATGTTCAGAAGCTAACCTGCAGAACCGAAGCCGTGATTTTCTGCGCCAATACTCAGACGACCAACAGCGAAACCCTAACCCTAATTTTATCGGTTGACAATGAAAAACAATCCGAAACTCGCTTATTTTCGCGAACACACTGAGACCTAAAACGATTAATGCTTTCCGCAATAACCCGAAATATTCTAATTTCAGACTTGAAGAACTAGGGTTCCCAATGTAGACGACGCAGAAAGAGGAAGAGATTTGCTGCTTGAAAGACTTCGATGGCGATTTTTAGGGTTTCGCGACGGGAACCTCAAAAGTCTTTTAAGTCTGAACCCTCGTTATGCGGTAACGACGTCAAAGCAAAACGCTACTACCCACAATTCTTCTATACTACACCGGATGCGTAGGGACTAAGGAGCAACCATTGTACCGGTAGCGGAGAAGACAAAGCACGACAGCACACAGCAGGCCCAGCACCACTATTTTCTCGTGCTCCTCGTGCGCACCTCGGCGTAGGCTAAAAAGGCTCGAGTTTTTTCACCTTATCGTCCACAGTGAAAAGACGGAAGTACCGTAGTCTGACTCCGTAGGACGACCACAAATGAATCGAATCGGATATGGGTTTCGTTTATATCGAATTCGAATCTGATCCTGTCCATCGGATATATCGTGGATTCAAATTGAATTGCAATGGTTATTAAATAAATATTGACTTGGGTAGTCAGTTGTGTTGCGGATGAAGGGAAATAAGAGGGAATTGGAATTAAACAATGGGAGTTTAGAACGAAAATGGGGGAATTTGAAAACAAACAATGGAGTTTGTTGGCTGAACCTAGCTTTTTTTGTCTGGTTTGATCCTCTAGACATCTAAAATTATTAAAATTGGACCCTCTTTTGCTATTATGGTCGTTGTATCAAGCAAGATTTTTAAAACCGAACCGGATAATGAACCATTAAGGTTCTTAGGTCGAATGGTCCAACCATTCGAACTGAACGGACGATCTGTTATGATAAAATAAATAAATAAATAAAAGTGGCCAAAAACCGTTTGACGGTTTGAACAGTTTGAACGGTTCAATAACTCGGGTCAATAGTTTGCTGACCAAATCAACGGTTTTTTGTCAAAAAAAAATAGTTTTGGGGTAAAACAAAACCGATCAAATGACTAGTTCCCGAATTTTCTGATCCAATTGTTCGGCCCGATCCAGTTTTGAAAAGCATGGTATCAAGCAACCAACCATTGTAGCTTGATTTGGGTCAATAATATGAGTTACATGGGCCAATTTATAAATGAAATTTGGGCCAATAAGTTAAATTTGTACATATTTCAATTAATTCAACTCCTAAACTGCGCCAATAAAATATGACTATACAAAAAAATACATCCATAATATATATTCAAACCCAACCAACCTATCCAATCCCAGTTTGGGGTTTGTTTCGTTAAGCTTGGCTTGGTCTTGAATTGACCTTCAACTCAACCCAATCCACCCAAGTTGTAGTCCTGTTTGGACTAATTTGGTTCAATTAATAATGTTATAAGGCTATTTTTATTTTAGTTTCTCTTAACAAAACCTTTGCATTGTACAGGTCCCAATTAGTTTATTCTTATTTCTTTGGTCCCACTTGATTCAATTAATTTCTTTCTTACCATTCGACTCGCCAAACTAAAATATTCTTTGAGATTATACAAGTTCAGAACAAATGAACTTGGGAAGTGAAAAATAGGACATAGTATATGAAGGAATAGCAGTCAACAAAGATTTTATGAGTACTTAAAGAAAGAGAGGAAACTTTTAATTTGGACCTACCAATCTCCAATTGGAGGCCCGAATAGATACAAGGACAGTCCAGTCCTGTGAGCTTATCGGATTTTGCAACTTTTAAGAGCAATTAGTTTTGTGGTGTAAAATAAGCCAGATGTTAATTATGCATCTAGTCCATCCATCCTAAGATAGGATTCTATATTTACAGGAATTCATCTTTATCTCTCTTTGGTTTTCTCTAAGTTGTGGTTTTATTTTTAACATTAATGCAATTTATGAGACTTCTCTAAAACCTTACAAACAATACTGGATAATGACCTTTTTAGTTATATCCTTCATAAGACCATGGTAGCTTGTGTGCTTTTCAGCCTTTTATTTGAAACATCCCTTTTGGTAGTACATTCATAGTTTTAAATATGACTATCAAATGTGCAAGTGATTTACACGAGGAAATTTTAGATGATGACGATGGTAATATTGGTAATGAGGTTTTCATATTTTTTACAAATTTTTATGTTTGTATATAAAATAATTTTTATTTATCACACCATTCTCAAGTGTTTGTTATAAAATTTCTATATCTTTTCTCATAATGTTTTGTGTTTTATCGTTTTTAATTTTAATTATTTAACTATGACATCAAAAATTGTCACATCTGGCTTAAAAGGTTGAATTATTAACCTACCACCAAATAGGAAAATAATTTCATTTTTTTTGTTAATTATAACTTTTGTGTTTCATTCTCATCATCAACGAAAACAATTCTTGTTTATCACACTTATGATGATGTATTATGGGTTGATCGTTTCAACCTGATTAGTTGAATTAGAGACTCGTAACTTGGAGGGAAAAAAATTCTGCCTTTAGGCATTGGGCCAAGCTTGAGCTTGACTTCTCTAAACACTAGTTAACACCAGACAAGAGCCTGGCTTTACACTATTTTAAGCTCAGGCTTTGGGCTGGGTCCATTCAAATTTTGGTAAAAGCAAAGCCTAAGCCCAATCCATGAATAAGTCTAGTTGACACTATTAGGGGTGTACAAATTATGAGAGAGAACCTAACAAAAAAAAATGTGGGTAGTTTAGTGATAAACACCCCCTCCACACACACACATGACACATTGGGGGTACATGGAATTTATACTATTAAATTTTTACAAGGAAAAGTTGAAAATAAATGCCAATAAAAAATAATCGGACAAATAGTTTATGGTTATTAGCTATTTTTTAAGGATTTAAGGAGAAATAATGAAATTCACCCTATAATTTAATAGGAAATTATTGGGGTACAAAACATATTAAAGGGACCACCATTTGTAAAGTTGCCATTTTCCAATGGGGTCTGGTTTGGAACAAACTATAGCAATCCTACATTGATTAATAATTGTAACAATATCCGACAAAAAACTGACAAACCAAAACAACTAAAACCTTTCCCTCTCACACAAATATGATAATTGTTTTAGTGTTTCCAATAAAACAAACATCTCTTGCTCTTTAACTTGTGTACTTCTGTCAAGGCCATTAAAGCTCTCAATATGAAATAATAAAAAGGACTCCAATGCGTTGACCTTCTATCATTATGGCGGTGTTTGGTATGACTTCCGTTTATTTGATAAACAGTGTTATGTCATCGCCAAATCAACATTTATCCCATCATGTTGATTTGTACGCATAGGTATTGATAAAAGTTGGTTTTGATTTATGTGCACGCCAACTGTTGGGGAAATTTCCATTTTAATGCTTCCCCTAATGGTTAAGCATTTATTCATTGCTCCGTTGATGCGACACTAATGGCACCTAATGGCGTCTAGTTGTCAATAAATCCCAAAAAAACGTTTACCAACCACTTTTTCTTGGTTTTGAAGACAAATAAGTACAAACGTTTATTTAATAAGCGGAAGTCTTTATTGGGCAAGGTGTTAATTAGATGATTGGTAAGGTTTCCTACTGGTCATAGCGGAGACTTGGGATTGAATCCCACCTGGTTATGGGTTGGGGGATGGGCTACCCCACCTCCCCCACCACAAAAGGTAAGGCTATCAATGGGTTAGGTTTACCCAACAGACCCAAACCGATTATAATAGTTTTGGTTAGAGATGGCAATGGGGTGGGTTTTGTAAATTCTTAGCCATGCCTGACTCCCTAAACCTCCTAACCCATACCCACTCCAAAACTTGTAGCGGGTTGGATTTTGAGAATCCAAACCCTCCTTGCATTAAAGGGTAGGGGGTTGGGCTTAGAACCCACATCAAATTTCTTAATAGTTCTTTTTATATATATAATCAATAAATAAGTAAAATAACACAAATAAACAACAAAATTTCCAATTATTTGATTAAAACATATAAAAACACGTAAACTATCGGTTATCGTTCATATAAAATTCAAAATATTATTAAATTCATCACTTAATACATGAGTTTATTTGCTTTCCAACAATATGTGGGTCGGGTTTAGCCCAATACCAAGCCATATCCATACCTGTAAGGGTTGTAAAATCCCAAAACCTGTCCTTAAAGCAAAAAAAAAAAAAAAAGTCTATCAAGGCGGGCACCCACCTAGTAGGGTAGAAATTGCAATCCCTAGTTCTTGTTCCATGATTTTGTCACGATTAATAATTAGGTTGGTTCCGGTTCTTGCCTATCTTGAACAAATTCAGATCCAAAATTGATTTATTTTATTATATATATGATGTTTTCTTATAATTCTTACTATATTTTATGTTTAAAACGATAAATTTGATAGATAATAAATGAGACAATATTTAACTTGTTAACATATAAATAATTTAGTATTTTTTCTCTCATTTTTGTTAAGGGTATGTTATCAAATTTTAAAATTTAAGTTAGTTTTCAATATAATCGGGTCTATCGAGTCTAGACCCGATAGACCAGCTATTAACCGGGACGATTCTAGGTTTGTGATTTTGACAACCCTAATGAAGGACTTGATATTAGCGATTCATTCACATCTCTTTGATATTGTTCTCCTTACAAAGCCAACCTAGATATTCTTATCAAATCCAACCTCTCTTTGGGCAAGAGTATTCAAGGTTGTCAATGTGAAAGACCAAAACATTTGGAGCCTAATCCCAAAGCAAGATGACTCTCGGGGCTAGAAGAGTCCGTTGTAAGGAAGGAAAATCCTCAAGTATGGTGCTTATTTGGTCTATTAATAAGGTTAACTCTATTGGCGTTTGGGATGACCCTTGGCTATCCCACCTTGAAGGTTTTAAGCCTATGGGATAGGTCGGTATAGGGTGGAATTCAATGGGTAGAAGATTTTGTTAATAGTGCTTCTGCAAATGCTTTTTGGTCCCCCCTAGATTGAGGCTAGTTGAAGATTAATGTTGATACAAGGTTTCTTAGCAAAGATTTTGTTTCCTTTGCTTTTGTGGTGAGGAACAATGAAGGCATTGTTGTTGCTGCAAAATTGGGTTCCTCCTTTGATGTGTCTGCTCAACATGTTGAAGTTGCTGCTCTAAGAGAAAGTGTCCTTTTTGTTCTAAGTTTTGGTTGGAACAATGTTGTTTTTGAGAGTGATTGCAAATCCCTAGTTAAGAGCCTAGATTAATTCTTGGTACTTAGATTGTGATTTGGATTGTTGGTCAGTAACTACAAACCTCTTAAAACTATCAAACAATATGGAATTCCAAGGCTTTCACTAGGACTAAATTATCAAACAAAATAACCACCACTAGATAACCATTTTCTTTTGCAAAACACAGAGAATTCCATATTGCCCAAATCTCCACTTCGAAATTGTCATCCTAATCACAATGATAAGTTAATGAAGAGAAAAAACATCTGTGATAGAAAATAATATTATTGCTACCAATCCAAGTATAATAAGAAGAGACTGCAATCCAAGTTAAAAGATTAATTGTTCTTATATTAACTGGAAACACAATAACTTAAGAGATTCAAAATTATTTCAACAGGTGAATTACCAATAAACATGTCTGATATGAAATTCCATGGAGATGAATACTAGATAGCTCTTGCTACATAACATTTAAAAAATAAATGAACTAGGGTTTCTACATGATTATTACAATAAACACATAACTCAGTAGAAAACAAACTATTTCTAGCCATTTCAGGAACAAAATTCATAATTAATCTCCACAAAAACAATTTAAATCTCGGACCAATCTTTAGTTTCCACATCTTTTTTTAGTACTCTCTCTATAATAGTTTGCAATCGAAAATCTCTCCTATTCTAAATTGAGATATAAGTAGATTTCATAGTTTGATTCCCATTCCTTGAACATTTCCAAATAAAAGAGGTATTTAGAATATCTCTAAATATATGAACATTTAAAACTTGACTAATCCAAGAGTCACCAAGAACTTGAGAAATGAGATCAACATTCCAGTTACCTGTATTATCAATCATATCCCTAAAACAGATATTCTGATAATTACGACCAACAGGACCCATAGGAGAAATCACATCATTTCCAATTCTAATCCAAGGCAAATTCCAAATATTCGCAGTATTTGGATCCAAAGAGACTCTGTACATCAAATCTGGTTTAAGAAGAGAAATAGCTTTAAAAACAAACTTCCATATCCTTCAACTATTTGTTTTTAACCTTGTAGGAAAAATACAATGAGGATTTAGCTATTTACATCTCAAGAGTTTAATCCACAACCTTTGACCTTGATTAAAAAAAAAAAAAAAATCCAAGCTAGTTTTAGTTGAAAAGCTTTATTAACTTGTATAGCTTTTCTAACACCTACTCCCCCACAAGATTTGGGGGAACATATGTGATCCCAACTTGCCTAACAAAATCCTCTAAATTTTTTACCAAAATTCCACCAGAATTTTATCAAAGTTTTTATTAAGAGTTTTAGGAAGATCCACTACAGACATAACATGATTGGGAATAGATTGAAGAGAGGATTTTAACAAAACCAACTTTCCTACTTGAGAAAGATTTGAAAATTTCCAACCAATTTAGCTTAAAATTTATCCAAGAGGTAAGAAAAAGAAGAATTCATATTTTGATTCCAAAATAATGGAACCCTTGGATATTTACAATGATACTCAAGGTTACCCATGTTTAATTGTCTACATAACAACCTCCTACATTTCATATGAACATTCTTACTAAAATATACACCGAATTTCTGACAATTGATAGCTTGTCCAAACATATTTTGTAAATCCAAAAGATTAGCAATTTCCTCCCTATAAGCTTTAACAAAAAGAAAAACATCATTAGCAAAAAGAATATGAGAAATAGAAGGAGCATATCTAGCTATTTTAATACCATGATTTTTCCAAGCTCTTCCGCCTTAGCCAAAAGTGTAGAAAAAACTTTCAAGAGATAGGGAGATAAAAGGGTCACCTTGTCTAAGACCCCTTTAAGGAATAATATGACCTTAAGCAAATAGAATAAGAAACAGAAGAAATGCATAAATAAATCATTTGACAAAAACTGTCACAAAAATGAACTTCACCAAATCTCTCTCTAGCTATCAATCCAATATCATTATCCATAAGATCATGAATATGCACCCCAACATCAACTTGATTCAATAAAATTGAATTTTCCAAAGACCAAGTAAAGCACGAGATAACTCCTCGAAAGGAATTGTAAGTGGAGGGAAGATTCATCCAACGAGACACCATCTCCATTCTTCAAACTGCATGCACTATTGCTGGACGACCCCCAACATCCAAAATCATGTCCTTCATTAACCGCTCGTTGAAAAGCTTCATATAAATCCTGAAAGTTCTCCATACATAAGCATTCAACACCTCACAGAAAAAATAACTAAAAAGAAGCAGGCAATAGAGAAGCAAAACACACTAACCTAGCTAACTCAACAAAAGAGCTAGCACTAAACGTAAGCTAATATAAAAGACACTTATCAGAAAGACCACAGAAAACCAACAAATAAGGGAAAACACCCACAGATACAAGCCAAAAGATACCTATTCTATTCACAAAAATAAATACAGGGGAAAGGGAAAAGACACCTTACATGTAGATATAATCTACACATGCTGGTGAAAGACAAGCTAGAGGCTCAAACAAAAACAAGTAACTCAGAATAAGAGAAAAGAAACTAAAAAGACAACTAACTATAGTTAAACAGAAACTAAAGAAGATTACAAAAAAGTTGAGTAAAAAACTGTGCTTATGGAGGCTGTGGAGGTTCACATCTCTTTGTAGTTTGTGTTTCTTCTTTCTTTTCTTTTCCTTTTTTGAGTCTTGTAGCTTGTCTTCATGTTCTTTTAGTGCATTATCTTTTTCTACCAAAAAAACTTGAATATGCATTCTCATGCTTGTCATTTGGAATATGTTGCTTAGAGCAAATTTACTACTCACAAAATTTATAAATTTTTGAATTGTGATTTGAACTTTTGGTTGTGTTTGGTTGCAATGCAAATAAATTTGCATGGCAATACAAATGATTTGAGTGTAAATTCTGACCTATTTTTGTTTCGAATTTTAGCTTATTTTGTTTGATTGCATTAAAATAAAATGAAGTAAATTAAAACATGAAACAGAATAAAATAAAATCCAAAAAAAATGAATTTGCATTTTTTAATTTGCACTCTCATGCATTTGTACTAGTGCAAATAAAATTACACTGCAACCAAACAAAGTTTTATTTCAAGGTTTCACTGCTTTGCGCAAATTTATGGAATTAAGATATCGGCCAAGATAATATTTATATATCCTTATTTAATATTTCTTCTTTGAGTAATTGAGTTGAGTGTGGTACGGATCGTCCAAAAAGGTTCGTGACATGAACTGGAAAGTGTCCAATAATTACAATGGAAAAGAAATGCTGAAACTGAAAGCATATGCCAAATTATTTGTGGAGATGGCCAAGGCCCAATGGTATCTAAAATTACATATCTTTACTTTACTTTAGCTAACTCGTTGATTGCTTGGTCTTAGTCTTGGTGGACTCGCTCTTGACTCGTTACATAACTCGTACATTCAGGTTCAGGTTCATTAAAATATTTAAATAACTGACTTTTATAAATATCAACATTATATGGTATGCTATTAAAATATTAAAATATGACTTGGATAGAAATCAAATCACCTCGACATTTTAAATATATAATATAAATATTAAAGGTAGATTATTATTATTATTATTATTATTATTATTGGGTAAACATAGATATAGATTATTTAGGTGCAATGTTTTAAAAATCAATCTAGAATCAGAACCGCTTTAGCCACTGGTTTTTGAGTCAGCAGTTTGATTATCTGATTTGATGGATGGGTTTAAGGGTGTCAATGGATCCATTTTGGATTGGATCTCATCCAGTTCAAAATTAATTTGAATGGATTGGACGAATCAACAAGGCATATTGGATTGAACCAATCCAGTCCAAAATGTTTATTAGATTGGATTGGACCTGGGCCGTCCGTGATAAATTTATATTGGATTGGATTAGATTAGATTAAGCCAATATTTGGTCCATTAATATAATATAAGAATATAGATGTTAGTGGACTTGGTTTTGGTTGAAACCAATTTAAATCAAAACGAATTTGAACAGATTGGATGGTGCACACATTGAATTGAATCGGCTCAAAATATTCATTGGATTGAATTAGACCTGGTCCATTTATAAAGGACTTACATTGGACTGGACTGAATTGGACCAAATCCAGTCCAATTGACACCCCTAAATGGGTCCATGGTTCGACTGCTTGAGCCAGCAGATTACTGACCAGGTCAATGATTTTTAACAATGGACAAATTCAGGGGTTAAATAGAATCGATTGCCTGGACGATTTTCGAAGTCACACGGTCCGACCATTCGGGTCATCGACGGTTCGAGAAGCAATAACGGGCCACGAAGAAATCCACACATTGACGTGTTGACTTGTGGATAGACTACGTAGACCATTAAACACAGCGTAGAGTGGATACTGGATAGCAAGTAGCAACAGATCCAGAGTCCTAATTTTGTCGGCTTGTAGCAGCCGTACTGTGGTAGTAGGAGAGAGGATCGGGTTCACTTGAGTCGATTCTTCGTCATTCATTGATAGTAAGTCGCATCATGAGTTTTCTTTTTTCTGAGCTTCTTCAGTCAAAGTGTCAAACCAACATATGAAATAATGCTAGCACAAGGCGAGGTGGGGTGAGGAGGTATCTTTGTCTATATCTCTGTCTCTTGTCGTTTTTTATTTATTTATTAAAATAAAACAAAATAACCACTTGTCTGATCCTTCTGAGATCAAGGTTCCTTTCATCCGAGTATCCAACACAGCCTGTTTTGGACTTTTCTTCTTGCAGAGTACCCACGATAGCTTGAGCTTTTGCTCTAACAGCATCATCAGGTAATTTCATCTCTCTTGTTCTCTTATATTTTTTCTCCTCATCCCCGTTTTATAAAGACTAACACCTTGATTATTTTTACTGGAGAAATCTATATATTTATGACGTGAATCCTGTCTTCATAATACTTCATGTAGAAATCCTTTTGGAGTTTATGTGTTTACAACGTGATATATATATTTTGAATGGGAGAGTCTGGGTTGTGTAACTTGATATGCTTTCTTCAAAGAAAGTAGGACGTTTGAAGATTTAATTTAGAGATTCTATTAGTGTTTCTGGAATAATTCATGAAGAAGCTTTTAACATGGATTTTTTTTTTCTTTTTTCTTTTTTATCTAAAAACGATATCAGAAATTTCTCTAGTGCAGGAGTACAGATTTTGATTTTGATGATAAGTTGGGCTTTTCAAGGTTTGCATGATATGTAATTTTTTAAATGGTTTTCTTCAGGGAATAGAGGTAGAGGAAGCTTTAAATTCTTTGAAGGAATTTCTGATATGATCAATGATCTCTGTTTCTTGCTCCGCAGCCCTGAATTTTACCTGATGGATCTATTATGGAGAAAAGGAAAAAACAAAAAGAACATTTGTTTTCGGACTTGATTCACTTGTCACAATTAAAAAATACTTGCCTATAAATATGTGAAATTTGACTCTTAAGATGCTATCTTGCAGAGGATGGAGCTTGTGTGAATGTTTTCCTCCAAATAAGTAGTCAAAGACAAGTCAAAATATCCATATGGGGCTATTGGATCTTTTCATTACTGCTTCAATGCCAGTCCTGAAAGTGCTTTTGGTAACTCTTATTGGCTCACTTCTTGCACTAGATCAAATAGATATTCTAGGGGAGGATGCAAGGAAGCACTTAAATCAGGTAATAAGTTGTTAATCCTTTCATTTCATATCTATAATTCTAATTTATTTTGTTCAGCTTGAGGACTAGAAACCTGATAATTGTTAATGGATATGCTTATAATAGTTCATTCAATATTAAATGGAAACAGAAAGTATTCTTAATCCTATTTCAGATGGAGGGAATGCATATTCTGCCCATATCGTTCATGCTCATCAATTTACTTTGCCTGCCTAGGATCAGTTCTGTTAGTTCAATTAGTGGGAGACTCTTTTTCTATGGTAAAGATAAAATTTCATAGAAAAGAGAATACAGAAATAGGTAGTATGGAATCACCAACAAAGGAAAAGAACAACAACAAGCACTGCAATAGTTCCTGATAATTAAGCATCACCCCCACCATGACCAATTCCAAGAACACAAAAGTCAAAAACTACATACAATAAAGATGCAGTTTGAAATTCTGAACCAGAAAAAAAGGGCCACTACTAACAGAGCTAGAGAATATGAACTCTCTCAGACCAAGACCCATAGTCACATTTCAGCAACCAAAACCATCACCAACGCCTTAAAAGGATATTCTAATTGGGACTCCTTTGTCAACTATATCTCACCCCACTCTTCTCACTATAGTATCACCAATTTGCTCCTTCTGTGGTCTCCACAAGGAGATTTTTTGTGATACTGAAGATTTACCCAAATCAAACCTACTCCCCCATAGCTCCACTCCATTTATTGGGAGACCTATGTGACGGATGGGAGCTGAAATTTCTTTCTATTTGGGATTCGTCCAGTGCATTGTCCTTCAATCAGATTGCTTTACATTCCAATTTTTGATTTAGGTGCTTATCCCTTCTCTTCCTTCCACAACTGAGATAGATAGAAGGCCATTATGAGATTTTGGTCCCATCCATCTGAGTTCTTAGGAGGAGTGGACTGAATATGGATTTAACCTTTGGCATTTTTGCACAAAACAACTCTGTCTGACTTGAACTTGTGTTTTCATCCTTGTGAACCTGAGATTTTACCATTTCTCCAAGCAATGGACCCCTATTGAGGTTAATACAAAATAATAAATGAATGATCAATGTGATTATACAAACTCTAAAAGATGTGTCCTTTCACACATTATTAACCCTAGTGCTAAGTACATATAAAGAAAAAATGCTACACCAAATTTACTTGACAAACACATCAATTGCTGAACCACTTTGTCCCTATATTTGGTTTTATTTCTTCAGCTAAAGAAAGATGAACCCCATGCAATTACTCTTTCATTTTTTTATTCTCAAGAAGGTTTGGTAGCAGCTCTCTTATTAACATTTTTCCAATTACTTAGTCCCATAGTGGTCCTAACTTCCAAAGTTCAATTAATCAACTGAACTATCCCAACTTCACTTTGGTGATTTTGCAAAGTATTTTGACCTATCAATGGTATAGAAGAATTGTTCATGTTCTATGATTTACTAGGTTCAAATGTTCTGAAAGACTTACATATAGCTTTATCTTTGTGAACAGATTGTATACTTTGTATTTACCCCAGCACTTGTGGGTAGCTACCTTGCTAAAACAATAACTCTTGAAAGGATGGCCATGTTGTGAGTTTCTTTTAATCCTATTAATTGCTAAATAGTATGAAAATTATGCTGGATCTTGGCCTTTCTGATTGAATTTGAGTTAATTTTGTCTTCCTGATCATTTCCTAGAGTAATTTTCAGCTGAATAATTTAGGTGGTTCATGCCAGTTAATATCCTTATCACATATATCATTGGTTCAATACTTGGATGGATAGTTATACGTATCACAAGGCCTCCTTCACATTTGAAGGGCCTCATCTTGGGCTGCTGTTCTGCAGGTACATGGCAGTTCCAAGTATTTAAATTATGAAGTACATGTTCACCATATATTGAAAGTTTTTCCACTATATATATAGCCATTTTCTAAATGTATTGTGTTGATCTGAACAGGAAATATGGGGAATATGTTTATCATTTTCATCCCAGCAGTGTGTAAAGAGAAAGGAAATCCTTTTGGAGCTCATGAAATCTGCCACACATATGGTCTAGCTTATGCTTCCCTTTCTATGGCTGTAAGATCTCTGCGATTCTAGATTTTTCAAGCCAGCAGAGAATGTTAATTATCTGAGTGCATCTTTGTATGTGTATGCATATGACAGAGAGTAGATTACCTCCCCCACCCCCACCAGTGTGTGTGTTTGTATGTGATACTGTAATATATTCATCATCTGTCAAAAAAGTGTTATTTTTTCAAAGAGATGTAATCTAAGCATAACATGTATTGGTTATTTGTTTTCCATGAGACTTATTTCAGTGTTTTCATTGACCTGCTAAAACATTTCAGATAGGAGCTGTTTATTTGTGGGCTTATGTCTACAATCTTGTGCGGGTATCTTCTTGTACCAGCAGTGTCCAAGTGAATGGTTCCACAATTTGTTCAAAGTTGTCTGGAGAAACCTCAGAATATAAAGGAAGTTGCACTGAAGCACTACTTAATTCACAAGATTGTTCTATCTCCAGTGACTTCTCAGATCAATATAAACTGCCTTGCATTGAACCTCAGGGAGAACTGAAGGTTGTTATTACTTTACCTTACCTTGATATTGTTCCTTTTATCTTGAGCAGTGAAATCAGAAGAAATCCAATGGCATTATGCTACAGCAAGAAGGGAAATATGAGTTTGCCTTCATCCCAGTGCCAATTGCAAAACAGTTAGGCTATCCTATATATTTTTCTGTTCTTGTTTTTGCATATAATTATGATGAGTTTGATGTGAAAATCCATAAAATCGCTGACCATTCTCATGAATATTACCTTCTGGTCAGGGGAAGAAAACTTGGGACGAGAAAACTTACCAATGCCAAGTGAAACTGGAAACTGTGATATATTTATGGGTCCCCCCTAGAATCTTAGTATTTAAAAGAATTAAGCCTTTTGGCTGATCTTATCCATACATCACAATTAAGTAATGATGAATAATTAACAGTAATTGATTATGATTTATGTAATTCAATAACTTGGTTAAATCTATGAAGATTGTATTTCTAGTGTTCTATATTAGATTACAAATTGGAAGAATTGTATGGTTCAGGTATGTTTGTTATATCTGATGTATGAGAATTGGTGCAACAGGCAAGATATACAAAAGGTTTATATCTGTCAAATGATGTCCTTAGGCTAAACAATGAGTAATTGCCTAGTAAGATGGGGTAAAATTAAAAGCTTGCAATAAGTGAAACTTCTATTATGCTTAATCCAGGAAAATTGGAAGGGAAGATACCTAGGCAAATGCAAGGAAGTTGTATGTGAGTAGTACTTAGCTACTTTAAGTAACGAAGAAAAAAGAAAGGTTAAATCAATCTTACAATAGGTCATTACCCAATTATGATTCTGGCTATCTGGGGTTTTGGGAATGGTGGACTGGATAGGGACCTAACCTCTTAACATTTTAGCATGAAGTGCCTGTTCTCAGGCTTGAACCTGCATTCTCACACTTGTCAGCCCAATAGTTTACTATTGACCAAGCACTCCCCTATTCTTTCAATAAAGAGTTAAAAGTGGGGAGTGAAGGAGTGGCTATCTTGAAATTCTTTGGTTGTTGATCATACATTTGGAAGATCTCCTATGATTCTCTCTGTAGTTTTTATTTTCCTTTCTTTCAACAAATTCAAGTTTTGGAGATATAATGATTTGAGCCTTTTGTTTCATGACAGGGGCCAATTTCAGTTAAATTTAGACACCAATTAGAGATTCTTTTGGAAAATATTAACTGGAAAGCTTTGGTCTCACCTTCAATTATTGGAGCGGTATGCTTACCTTGCTTACTGTTTTTTGCAGTAGCTATTGATATTCCTCGATACTGATTTTAATTCTGTCATCCAGTATTTTGCCACATGTTTTACTTGCTGGGAGGATTATTCCATTGTAATAGGCTTCTAAATCTCACTCCAACTTTTGATGCTTCATTTATTTTAGAAAAAACAAACAAATAAGTAAAAGATTAATTAGGTGATTCTAGATATCACTTTACCCTTTCATTACTGGCTTAGAAACATGTCGATTGATATGATATCAGACAGCGCTGTAAGTGTAGTTATGGTTCTTGTAGTGCAGCACTTGAGTAGATACTTCTGTGAATATGGTAGAAGCATAGACCTTTATGTGAATACGTAATGGTGCTGCTGGAATTTATTAATTGAAGTTCGATTCCTTGGATAAAATGTGCTAATCTAAGATGAAAATGTCTTGCTGAAATTATATTGGACTTAATTCATTTCTGTTTTCATGTATAGTTTGTTGGGTTTTTGGTTGGAATAGTCCCTCAGATGCGAAGGTCAGTGATTGGTGAAAATGCTCCTCTTCGTGTGATCCAAGACTCAGCTTCATTGGTGGGGTATAAATGACTAACCATAAATGTTATTTCATTGAAACTCTGAAATTTCCAACTTGAGATTATTAAGAAATATAAGCTCTCTGAAGTGCACACCTGTTGTGCCCTTCATGCTATACTCTAAACATTACCACCCTATGAATTGATGTGGACCATTCATTATATGGACAACCCTCAGGTGAATGGCTTTTCAATATCCAAGTTTTTGTTGTTGTTGGTTGTTGTCTTAAATAGACATTGTTGGTAATAGGTGACTGACATGGTTTTCAGTCTCTGACCCATCCAGTACACGCATGACCTATTGAGAGGTCTGCATTCATAGCATAAAAACATTGACCAACTCTTGGGTTATTCATAATATGAATACTTATGGTTGTCTCTATTTCCTTTTTCGAGTCTGCAGTGATGGAGCTGTCCCAGCACTCACCCTGATAATGGGAGGAAACCTAATGAAGGGTAATTGCTGATTTATTGTTGATCTCTCTCCTAGTTATACTGGTTGCGGTTGGTTCTGGTTGGCTATTTTAGAAAGAGTCTATCTGTTCTAACTTACGGCTATGCTATTGTGTAGGTTTACAAGGGTCCCAAATTAAGCTGTCACTCATTTTTGGTATCATAATAGTACGTTATATTACCCTGCCCTTGCTTGGAATTCTCATTATTAAAGGGGCAATTCGCTATGGCTTGGTTCACTCTGATCCATTGTATCAGTTTGTTCTTTTGCTTCAGTTTGCAGTTCCGCCTGCCATGAACATAGGTATTGTAAATGATTCTTGCCAAGAACGGGAGTGCAATGCTCATAGCTAAGGAACTTATTGGATGGACCCCAAGAAACATGTGGCTGTATTTTTTAACTATGCACATTCAAGCTGGTTAGGATAAATACTTTATATGACTGTCTTGCATTATTCAACAGTTCTTGCCTTTGGGAACATATTTTCTCCTTTTCTTCCTATGATTTATTCTGGTAGTCATGCCATCCAACTATGTAGAGTGTAGCATGACTGAACTAGATTGAATGTAGGGGGTGCAACTTGGGCAGGCTCAGATTGAAGATTTGTTAAGTTTTGAATCGGCCACACCTGAGGGCTCAAGCCTGATGCTATGTAAAATTTTCAGATCGGGTACTTGACTTGCACCCCCGGTTGAGTGACTTGAATTGAATCATGTGAGTAGTGTTGTTTGAAATATTTTTGCCTCGTACTAGTCAGGTCACAGTATAGGTAGTGAAAATGGGAAGATGGATAAAGAGTGCTGTTTGTCCTCCAAACTCTAAATATTTCCTTGGCCTTTTTCTTCAGTTTGACAACTTATTGTCTAGATTTTGGTTGTTTTATTTCTGATTCAAGTTTTTCATAATTTTGGCAGGGACAATTACCCAATTGTTTGGGACTGGGGAGAGAGAATGCTCTGTCATCATGCTGTGGACTTACATCCTTGCCTCTGTTTCGATTACCCTTTGGTCCACCTTCTTCATGTGGCTTCTAGCCTAGCCATTTACTTTACTAGCTGAATGTTTGCACCTGTAGCACAGTTCTCATAATGAATGAATAAAAGTATTGGAACTGATCAACTGACGTGTGATAGAGGATAAGTCATCCTGAATAAAGTTTCAAATTCGGGTAACAAAAGCGTATTTCACACTTGCGGATGAGCAACAGCAAGTCAACTGCTAAATGGCCTATAACGCTAAAACTGCCATACCAAAACCGAACCAATTGGCCAGATTACCCTATTTTTTGGTTCAGAGTGTTTAGCCTCAGCTTGGAATGCGTGCAAAACCTTATATTTTGTATTATTTTATATATTTGTACTGTATATATTTGTATTTGTACTCTTTCCAAACTGAGCCAACTTGTGTTGCCAGGGATGATCATTTATGACCTGGAACGAGCCAAGCAAATCTTAGGCGTGAACAACCTGGCCCGTCCAGGTCTGGATGCTGGGGCTAGGCTGGGCTCAGCCGCTCAGGCAGCCCCAAAGGCCGTTAATGCACTGTGAAAACCTGGCTCATGAATCATGATCACCCTTAGCTATTATTGGCATGAATTAGGTAATAGTTTAACTTTAACCCAATTGAATTGGAGGCCATAAGAAGCGATTTAGATCCCTTGAACTGCAAGATTGATAAAAGCCTTAAACACAATTGTGGCATATTTGATGTGGGCATTCTGTTTAATGCTATATCTATTGTTAAATTATTAGTGTTTAAATCATTTTTTTACTATTTCAGCCCATATACTTTTGATCTATTCCTACTTTTTCTTACTAATTGCTACTTGGACACAGAGATGCCAGAAAAGTTTATTTTTCATTTTTAAATATCTGAAGAATCTTTCATCCTGATCTTTGGATTATTTAAGGCTTAATGATGACTTGAACCATAAAATCCAACCTCATTAAGAGTAACTTGTTACAAGCCATGACTGTGACTGGCTAGCGATGGACTAGGATAAGAATGAACCTATTTATATATAAGGGTTCTAAATTTCTAATTATAAAGCTAGTGAAGAGTTGTTTTCGCTGGAAGCGGCATGCTAGCCGATGCCAACAAACATGTCGTTATCCCAAACTGAAGCTCAGAAGTCATAACATACTGGGCCTGAAGTTCTTGTGTTTCTATTTCAAGTTTCAATTGATCATATATCTATTGCATTGAAGGCAAGAACACTGTAAGAAACCATGATTAATTCTAATTCGATTCATAGGCTTGCTTAGGTCGAAGATAGACTTAGTCAGAGTTGATGTTATCAACCAATTGGTTATAGGGGAAGTCCATTTCCCATCTTAGCTCCCACGGAAGTAGGACCGACCTATTCTTGTGGCTGTAGTTAGAGGTGTCAATGGACCGGTTTTGGGTTGGATTTATCGAATCAAAATCAATTTGGATGGATTGGAGGGACCAATGAGACATGTCAAATTGAACCAGTCCAGACTTAATGGTCCAAAGTGTTTATTGGATTGGATTGAACTTGATCCATCTGAAATGGATTTATATTAGATTGGGTTAGATAGAAATCCATTGATTGAAGATAAGAATACACTGTCAATGGACTAGGTTTGATAGGAACAAATCTAAATTAAAACCAATTTGAATAGATTGGACGGTTCAGACATTGAATTGGACTGGTCCAAAGTATTCATCAAATTGGTTTGGACCCGATCCATTTGTAATGGATCCATATTTGATCGGATCAGATTGGACTAAATCTGGTCCAATTGACACCCCTGTAGATTGATGAATGGTCAGGGCAAAATAGAGTTCCCTGTTCTGGGGAGAACCTTGTGAATGGTAAAGGACTTGGTTCACTGAGTTATGGGAGTGGGAAGAGTATATTCTTTGTAAAACCATGATGTGCACTCATTGCTTTAGCTACTGGTTACTGCTTTGATTAACTCTGGCCGCCTCAGTCCACTCAAGGCCTCCCCCCCGATGGGGAGAGGAGCCAGATTAGTACTATTCAGTATCAACACAACAGTTTTGTGTTCAAACTCTTTACAGAGTATTAAGCTGATTGATTATTACATGCATAGAACTTCCAGAACTAAACTTCAGGTCAAATGCCTTGATGATGCCTGTGCATGGAAGATAAGTTTCTTAAGAGATCAAAGTCAAATTGATGAAACAATTGCTAATTTATTTGTTCACTGTCATTTACAACTAGGATATTTCACTCATATTTATTTGTTCACTCATATTTATCATTTTTGTTTAACACCCATTTTTATTATTTAATTTAAGAGATTAAATTAAGTATTATTTTTATAAAGAGATATGGTATATATAAATAATTATTCCTAATGTTTTCTACCCTTATAATAGAGGGACCAAATTTAGAAATAAGGATATTTCAGCCAAGGAAAAGTTTGAAACAAGGTTCAGAATATTGGTATCGTGCAAGCTTAGATATAGTGGAAAGAAATTGATAGTCATGGATACACTGGGGAAACTATTACAGATTCCACAGATACATCAATAATAAGAAAATCTAAAGTTGAAATAATTATGAATTGGTTATAGTCATACACACATGAGAAATGCAAACTTCCATAGTTTATATAAAGAAATGCATTCCAATCAGCAATAATAGGAATCTAAAACATATACATATCATACAATAATTTTATTAATAATACATCAAACAATGTTTGAGTTTCCAATCTACTAAGGCTAAGCTTGGGAGTGCTTATTTGAAAAATAAGTGCTAAAAAGTAATTGCTTATTCTAATAAGTGCTCATGATCATTTGGTGAAAAAACACTAATTTTAAATAGGGCAAGTATAAATATTTTATAAATGATGTGATGGGCCAAGACATACCAGAAAGGAAATAATTGTTTATTTTATAAGCACTTCATTTATAAAATAAGTATTTATTTTATAAACACTTATTCTCAAAACAATCACTTATTTCAGGCTTATCTCTCAAACACCAATAAGTACTTATTGGTGTGATTTCAGCCCAAACTAAGTGCTTATTTGAATAAGCACTCCCAAACTTGGCCTAAAATTGTTGTTGGATTAATGAGTTTGATAGGTCATTGATAGATCCATTTTATAGTTATTCCTTGCCATGAAATGGTTTAAAGTATATAAAATAAATGAATTTTTATTTTCCAAAATTTTCCTAAAAATTAAGAAAAATTCATTCTTTGTATAAATTATTGTTAGATCAATGAGTTTAAAGATCATTGATAGATCCATTTATAATTTTTTATTACAACGAAATTATTTAAAACATATAAAAAATCAATTATATTTTCTTTCATTATTTTCCATAGGTTCTTGGGGTAGCCTATAGAAATTGAACAAAGAAAAAAAAAAATCAGAAGTGAACATTTTTTTTATCTACGCTAGTGGCCACGGAGCTATGGCAGCAATTAGGACATCCTTATAACCTTTAGCGGCGGTCAGGACCACCAGCACAGGTTATGTCGTCATATTCCGCATATCCACATCATTTGATACTGATACAATGCGCTTCCTATGAGGCCTATCGTGTCAATATTTTAAACTTTATCTGAGACACTAAATGCCCTATGATATAAATATATAAAATTCAACAAGTACAACTGAAATATATATTTGCAAATGGAATACCGGAAACCCAAGGAAAGCACTTATCAGAGTACTGTCAATTGACGATCAGCATGGCCCACCCTAGCCTTGTGTTTCGCAAAGAGCTCTTCAAGGGCAGCTACAAATTGGCTATGCACCTCATTCACCTGCCCAGACAACGTAAAATAATGTCAGTTAACGGATTTAAAGGCTTGTATTTCCGTGGTGTGTTAAGTTATTAAATCCTAACGGGGTGTTTGGCACTTGAGTATTTCACAAGTGTTTCATTTAACAAGTGGGCCCCGATTCACAAGTGTTTCATTTTACCTGTTATTTTGAATAACACAAAAAAATCGAGATGCAGGCTGACTGGGCATTTAAAGTGATTTAACTTAATATTATAATATATTTATAATGATAACTGTATGACATCTCAAAAAAGAAGTCGGTTTTTTCAAATTTCAATGTGCTACGCCTACGAGGCAATTCAAGAAACATCAATTTGACGATTCAAGAAATGCCTCCTTTCCTGAATCTGAGAACTAATCATTGCAAAAACATTTTTTTTTTTAAAACAGGATTGCCAAATGCGATTTTCTTGCCGATTCCATTTAATTGCTGATATGGCATGAATGACACATCAGCAAAAACGGAATGCTTGTGAACAGTCAATTAATCCATTATGTAGAAGGAAACTTCACAGGTTTCAGTGCAATTAATCCATCAACATGCACCAGTCAAACAGTACTGAAGAGAGATGTTTTCTGTTGCCCACAACATTTCTTGTGATGTAAAATTGAAGGCCTAATGGCATGAGGAAGTTAGTTTAGTTTATGACTAGAGAAAAAAGCTAAAGACCCAGAAAGATAGGGTGTTCCACCATGAGCTTTTTGATACGCCAGCATGCCTTCTGGATAAAGTCTGTGTGTGTGTGGGTGACAATTGCAGCTAACCCATGTTGATAGCAATGATATGGTCTTTCCTTGTGTCTCATTTAAACCATCAGGCATCAACAGAAGGAGAGTTGGATTGCTTTCATCCTTCAGCACCATCAACAGAAACCAGAGATATGGAACACTATCCCTAACAGAGCCTAAATGAAAGAAATAAAGGATAACTTACGAAGACCAAGTCACTAACAACAACTTATTTATATCCTGCACCAATGGGAAGGAGGGGTCCAAGGTGTTCTTACCTCTTCCATGGTTGGTTGTGGATTTCTTTTGAGCTTAATGGGCCTGCCAACCACAACATGCATAGGCCGGCGATATGGTAGTGGTGATCTGAGAAAATAAAACCGTTAGATGGATTTCATTGTCTATAATGAGAACCATATTAAATAGACTATAGTTAAGAATTGTATACAATTCCTTTTATCTCTCTCAAGGGATGAATGCCTGGTTTTGAATCTATGTAGAATTTTTTCATTATTCATTGAAGCAGCACCTGCCAGCTTTACAAATTGAATTTTATTCACACTATCCATCATTTTTTGCTCCAAACTCTCAGTGCTTTGACAAAGGTTTCTTGTAGTTAAAATACCGATTTGCCCAATACCAAGTTATGAGCTCAAACCAACAAGATTTGTTGTATTTATAATTTTGGAAAGAAGATTCAAAACAGTAAGTTCCATTCTCTCTCTTCTTCTATATTTACAACATTGTCCAATGCAAGAAAAAGGATGGGTTCCTCTGCAGTCTATGCTTGCTAGTTTTCTATTTAAAAATGATAAAAGATGAAGTCTCTCTTAAGTGAAGCTACAATATAGTTTAGAAGGGGAAACTTTCAGGATCTCATTGAATGCCACTGACCGCTTCAATTTTCAAAGTTCAATACATGGAAAGGTATGGCTGACACAGATGATTAATATCTAACCTCCATGTGAAGAGAAAGGGTGCTTGAACTTAGCTATGCTACTAAATAACACCCAAATGATTCACTGGTTAATCCTGTTATGCCTTATTTTCTTCTCTATAGGATTTTGGCATCTTGCAGTGACTCGATATCAGAGAATAGATGAAAATAGGTATATTTTTTCACTTTTTTAAATCAAATTGATTAAAAAAGTTAATAGAGAAAGGCTGAAGATATATGCTACATACCCAAAAGTTCCCCAGAAAATGATTGGAGTGAACTTTATAACTCTACACAGTCGCCGATACAGTTTCCCACTTGGCTGCCACCATTTGAATACGTCTGTCTGCAATTCACAAAATGAACAAGCGTTACAACACACAGATGGGTATCCCAGCAGCCCCCTCCATAACTTACCTGATAGGTCCCGGAGATTTCACACACAATTCTCAGTCACACGACAAAAATTACACAACTCCAATGAAAAGAAACTAGTATTCATTCAGAGAAAAGCATTAACAGTTGGTTGGTTCTTCGAGAGACGCCGGCTCTCCCAAACACACACAATATTCTTCACTCCCCAAAAACATACCCTTCCCCATCCCCCAAAGACCCTTCTTATACTCTTCTGACAGCATAACTGACTCCCCCCCATAAATGGCCAGCTGGCCTAATTATAAATGCCCAACACTCTTCTTATTCATAACTGACATAGCTATAAATGCCCCAAGACTCTTCTTATTCCCTTCTGACTTCCTCAATAAATGCCCAGCTGGTAAGCCCCAAGTGTTCAATTATTTCCCCCCTTAACCGATTGCTGTCCTTTCCTTTTCCTAGCATACGTAAGGTTAATTCGGGGCCTATCATTACCCGCCGCCCAAAGACTAACCTTGTCCTCAAGGTTAAAATGAGGGAATTGGTCTCGAAGCAAGTCAAAAGGCTCCCAAGAATCTTCAAAATCAGGCAGGTCCTGCCAATGAATAAGCACTTCCAAACCAGTAACTCCTGGCATAGTGGATAAGCGCACACCGCACACGGCAGCAGGTTCCACAAGCATCTCCATATCAGCAGACAGAGTGGAAGGAATCACAAGAGAAGAGATATGGTTGCCAATCGCCTTCTTGAGTTGCGAGCATGAAAAACTGGGTGAATTCGTGCATCTGGAGGAAGTTGAAGTTTATAAGCGACAACGTCAATTCTTTCCACAATAGCAAATGGTCCATAAAAACGAGAGGCAAGCTTTTCATTGACTCGGCGAGCTAGTGACTATTGGCGATAAGGTCGCACTCTCACATAGACCCAATCCCCGACATCAAAATTCACATCACGTCGGTTCGCATCAATCGAGTCTTTCATCTTTTGTTGTGCACGGTGTAGATGAGCACATAGCTCACCAAGTATAGCGTTACGCTGAAGGAGAACAGCTTCAACATCAGCATTATCCGTAGAGCCAAGTTCATAGTGGATTAATGGAGGAGGATCGCGCCCATAAACCACCTTGAAAGATGTCATGCCAGCAGCAGTGTGAAAAGAGGTATTATAGCTGTATTCTGCCCAAGATAACCAAGAAGACCAGCGGGAGGGAGAATCAGCCGCGAAGCAGCGCAAATAAGCCTCTAAACAGCAATTAACCACTTCCGACTGACCATCCGTCTAGGGATGGTAAGCTGAACTATGACGCAATTCTGAACCTTGCAAAGTGAAAAGCTCGCGCCAAAAGAAACTCATAAAGACTTTATCACGATCAGACACAATTGATCGGGGAATGCCATGTAAACGAACTATGTTGTGTAAGAAAGCCTGAGCAACCGTGAGAGCTGAGAAAGGATGACTGAGAGRGATGAAATGGGCATACTTGGAGAGACGATCGACCACCACCATAATTGTATCAAATCCCTTCGACTTAGGAAGAGCCTCAATAAAGTCCATAGCAATATCCTCCCAGATCTGTTTAGGAACGGGTAAAGGTTGAAAAAGGCCAGCAGGAGACATGGCTTCATATTTACTGCGTTGACACACATCACAGGCCTGCACAAACTCCTAAATAGAATGTTTTATCCCCCGCCAATAAAATTCAGCTGCTATACGCCGATATGTCCGGCGAATTCCAGCGTGACCTCCCACAACACCAGAATGAAACTCTTTAAGTAAGAGGGGGATAAATGGAGAAGAAGCCGACAGAACCAATTTACCATGATAACAAAGGTGATCCCCAACTAAAGAGTAGGCAAGATAAGTAGCCGGATCATGCTGTATGACATTTTTAATGTTGGCCAGAAAAGAATCAGCATCAAATTGCTCCTTAAGGTCATCAAAATCAAGAAAAATAGGGACTGTAAGATAATTTAAGTGCATTTCAGTAGGAACTCTGGAGAGAGTGTCAGCCACGGCATTTTCAGTACCAGGTTTGTACTGAATCTCAAAGTCATAATTCATAAGCTTAAGGAGCCACTTATGATGCTCACCTTCGACAATCCGCTGCTCCAACAGATACTTAAGACTACGCTGGTCGGTACGAACAATAAAGCGTCTACCAAGAAGATAGGGGCACCAATTTTTAATGGCAAAGACAATAGCCATTAATTCACGCTCGTAAACCGATTTAAACTGTGCAGACGGATTAAGCTTGTGGCTGTAAAAAACTATGGGCCGATTATTCTGCATTAATACCGCACCGAGACCCACACCGGATGCATCTGTCTCGATCAAAAAGGGCTGAGAGAAATCCGGAAGGGCCAACACAGGTACGGTCGTCATAGCCCGTTTCAACTCCTGAAAGGCGTTCTCAGCTTCTGCATTCCATGAGAAGGCATCCCTTTTAAGCTGTTATGTCAATGGCCATGCTATTTTACTGTAGTTACGCACAAAACGGCGATAATAGCCCGTAAGTCCCAGAAAACCGCGAAGAGCTTTAAGTGAAGATGGTTGGAGCCAATCAACCATGGCCTGGATCTTAGAAGGATCGGCAGAAACACCAGCCGCACTGATAATATGACCCAGGTATTCAATGCTAGGCTGAGCAAAGATACATTTCTTTGAGTTAGCAAAGAGACGGTGGGCACGCAACAGAAACCTGTTGAAGGTGATCCAAATGGGCAGCTTCGGAAGCACTATAAACCAGAATATCATAAAAAAAAACCAGCATAAAGCGACGGAGGAAACCATGGAAGACAATATTCATTAATGACTGAAAAGTCGATGGCACATTGGTAAGACCGAAGGGCATGACAAGAAACTCATAATGGCCCTCATGGGTGCGAAGTGCAGTCATGGGAATATCCTCACTACGGACACAAATCTGATGGTTGCCCGATTTAAGATAAATTTTGCTGAAAATAGAAGCACTATGAAGCTCATCAAGAAGTTCTTCGATAACCGGAATGGGAAACTTATCCGGAACCGTAGCACGGTTAAGGGCCCGGTAATCAACACAAAAACGCCAGCTTCCGTCCTTTTTCTTGACTAAAAGGATTGGGCTCGAGTAGGGGCTTGTACTTGGCTGAATAATACCCGCGGCCAGCATCTCAGAGACAAGGCGTTCAATTTCATCTTTCTGGAACTAAGGGTATCTGTAAGGACGAACAGAGATCGGGGACGTGCCCTCATGCAAGACAATAGCATGCTCCGTAGCCCGAGTAGGGGGTAAACCCGTAGGCATATCAAAAACATCTTTGAACTCATCCAGTAAAGCGGAAATTGGCAGGGGTATGGGCAAGGCAGAGTTCAACGAAGAATCCACCACCTGCAAATGTTATAATTCCAACAAAACCCCTTGTCCCTCATGTTGTAAGTTACGCATCATAGCATGCAAAGACACTTGAGAAGAACAGGGAGAAGGGTCGCCCTACAATTTCACACGGACACCCCCCAAATTGAGCTTCATAGACATGTTACCCCAATTCATCACTGAGTCCCCGAGGGATGCTAACCAAGGAAAACCAAGAATGACATCCGTAGAGCCCAATTTTAAAGGGAAGAAATCAGCAATGACCTCCAATTCAGGTAAGTTGAGGCAGACCTGACGGCAGACTCCAGAAGTTCTCACCTCGTCGCCATTACCCATCTAAACTCCAAACTCGTGTGTAGGAGCGCGGGGTAATTTTAATTCCTCCACTAAAGCTTCGGAGATAAAATTGTAAGATGCACCTGAGTCTATCAATACGGTCACCTCACGTGACAAAATGCATCCATGTACCTTAAGGGAATTAGCCGCACACAAGCCCACAAGAGATGAAACACAAAGCACGGCTGAATCTGGAGCCGGAGCAATTTCAGTGTCCGCTGAAGTGGTGTCCAAATTAGACACATCAGAAGTAACTTCTTCGACCTCATCTTGAACCCATAAAACCTGAAGTGATTTCTGAGCACAACGATGACCAGGACTATATTTCTCGTCGCAACGGAAACATAGACCCTTCGCACGCTTCTGCTGCATCTCTTTATCGGTCATTTTTTTGAAAGCAGGTGGCAGGGGCTTAATAATTGGGACCGAGGAAGAAGGAATCGCGGCACGTGCAGGTCGGGTGACAGCGGAAGTAGTCACCTGCGAAACCTGTGAATTAAAATGAGCTCCAGAGGGGGATGTTGTGGGCCAACGATGAAATGAACCTGATTGATAAGCCCAAAGGGCCTAATTCTTATCCTCAATCTTCTGGGCCGCAACCATTTTCCTGATCAACCCAACGGGTTCCATCTGTCGGAGTTCAGCCTGAATATCTGGGTGCAACCCATTAACAAATGCTGCTTCAAGGACTGATTCCGGCAGGTCACGCAAGGGAGCAGAGAGCACCTCGAATTGGCGACGATATTCCTTAACAGTAGAAGACTGATGTAACGAAAAGAGCTGCTCCTGTAAATTACCCTCTTGAGTTGATCAAAAACGTTCAAGGAGGAGCTCTTTGAATTCTGTCCAACCACGAAAAGGTCGCCGACCATCTTCCCAGTAATACCACGCCAAAGCATCGCCCTCTAAACAGACAACAACAGCTTGCAAACGCTTCGCCGGAAGCAATCCATTAATCTCAAAATAGCGCTCCGCACGAAAAAGCCAGTCGTTTGGATTTTCCCCATAAAAAATAGGTAACTCCAACTTCCTGGGAAGTGAATCAAGAGTATGTTCCGGCACCGGCATCGAAGAAGACGTCAGGAATGCCGCACTCTTCCCTTTGTCAGCAACACGACTCGATGTAATTAATGGAAGAGCAATGTCAGTAGAAGACAAGGGAGCAGAAGAGACCTGTTGATGAAGCAACAGATCAAAACGTCTCACCAGATCTTGAACGCCTCCCTCCAGAGATTGGACCGAGCTCTCTAGAGACGAGATCTTTGAAAGTCCAGCTGCTACCTTATCCGGATCGAGACGCTGAAAATCATTACGTAAGCCATCCATCTCCAGACGAAAACCAGAATGCAGAGAAGACAAGCGTTCTTCGAATCCCTCCACTTGCGATGCCACTTCCTTAACTGTCACCGTGGCCAAGGAAAGACGGGCTCTGATACCACTGATAGGTCCCAGAGATTTCACACACAATTCTCAGTCACACGGCAAAAATTACACAATACCAATGAAAAGAAACTAGTATTCATTAAGAGAAAAGCATTAACAGTTGGTCGGTTCTTCAAGAGACGCCGGCTCTCCCAAACACTCACAATATTCTTCACTCCCCAAAAACATACCCTTTCCCATCCCCCAAAGACCCTTCTTATACTCTTCTGACAGCATAACTGACTCCCCCCCATAAATGCCCAACACTCTTCTTATTCATAACTGACATAACTATAAATGCCCCAAGACTCTTCTTATTCCCTTCTGACTTCCTCAATAAATGCCCAGCTGGTAAGCCCCAAGTGTTCAATTATTTCCCCCCTTAACCGATTGTTGCCCTTTCCTTTTCCTAGCATACGTAAGGTTAATTGGGGGCCTATCATTACCATTGTTACCAAGATCATTTTCAATGGCTGGTTCAAGTCTTGGATTTTCATAGTACAATGAGACAAAGCCCAATGGGCACCGTACCTTCTAGAGATCTAAACTAAACATCATTTCTAGATTATCATTAGTTCCGATATGGGGAAAAGCAACAGATATTGGTAATTTTGAAGCCTCTGTAAAATGAAAGAATTTCTGCCATAGTTGAGTCAACTGTGGCGAATGGAGCCAAAGGGATATGGATAATTTTTTTTTTCATCCCTCCAAGATCAATCCCTGAGACCTGAAGGGCCTTTTCTTCTTCGATGACTACCATCAAAATTAACTTACGAACCCTATTGGAGGAGGATGCAAATAATATTTCTAACCCATGACAATGGGTATGACAATAAAATTAAAATCCCCAAAATAATTCTGTAAAGTAGATCTGACACTTTTAAGGCCTGACTAGGCAATTCCCAGAAGGAAACTGCAGAGGTAATATTTAGGGGTGTCAACAGTATTCGAAAATCCAATTTCGAATTCGATATTCGACATAATTGAATCGAATTTGGGTAATTCGAATATCTAATCGGTTGAATTCGGATATCCTATTCATAGCGAATAGTTAATCGGATTCGAATTCGGATATGACCTGATTTGATTCGATAAATATCCAAATTCGATCGATTATTTAATTCTTATATATAATATAAAATATTTTATATAATTTATATATATATAATAATTAAGTTATATAAAAAATGTATATATTTATATACTTTATATCAATAAAATATTTATTATATACACTTATTAATTATCTAAAATAATTAATTAATCGAATTCAAATCGAATCGAATATTCGAATACTTAATCGGATTCGAATTCGGATATTAATTTTTAATATCCGTCAGATATCAGATTCTCTAATTGGATTCGAATTCGATCTGTTTACGCCCCTAGTAATATTTTCCAATCCCACATATCACCAGTAATGTCACACTCCATATGGCACAACCTATTAAATCAATAAGAGCAGCACTAAAGGTCTTTGATATGCATTAGAAAGGCCCAGGATAAGAGCCTTGGGAAATTAAACCAAATAGAAGAAACAATATTGAAATGAATAAAAAGGTAACGAGCTCATTTCTTGTCCATTTCAGACAAGAATAAAACCTGAAAAGCACATTTTTGAGAGACTACCTTTTCTGGAGCACGCCACACATTTAGTTACTAAAATGTTGTCCAATCAAAATCTTCAGAAGGAAAATCAAATAAGATCAATCCCAATAAACTTGAATTTAACTGCATATATGCTAGTGTTGCAAGGACTATATGGATGAACCATCCATGTCAGACATGCATCAGATTCTTATGCTTAATGGATTCTTGAGTGACACTTTTACGTAACATTTTCCTTTAGCTCTTTTCTTATTTGACATAAATGCCAATTTCCCATTAGGTATAAATCATTAGAATGCTTTTTTCCCACAAAATGTTGTAACAAAAATAAAGTTCTAAACCTTTTCCCTTAGGTATAAATTTTCAGAGGATGTTTGGTGCAGTATTGTTCCCCTTGCCGAGGAGTTCCCCTCTCTATTTGCTTTAGCCCAAGACAAGGATATCAAAACTAGTGACTGTTTTGAAATGGTAGCCACCAATATCATCTGGGTGCCATGGCTGATAAGGAATGTGGATGGTTTGGACATTGCTAATCTGGTTTCCTTACTGGCTTCCCTGATCCATGTTGTCTTTAATCCTTTGGACCAAGATAAACTCTAGTGGACTGGGGATGGGTCTGGTGCCTTTTCAATTAAATCTTGCTATCAGTTGTTGGTAAGGACCGATGAAATTCAGGTTCCCTCGAACTGGATTTGAAAGTCCAAAATCCCTTCAAAGGTGATCTTCTTCATCTGGGCAGCAATCAAGGGAGATATTCTCACGGTCGACAACCTCAGATCTAAAGGTTTGGTTATTGTCAATAGGTGTTTTCTTTGTGGCTTGCACCTTTTGCTTCACTGTGTGCTCACCCATCAAATCTGGTGTCATTCTTGGGTGTTTTTGAAGTCATTTGGGTGGTTCCACCAAACATGCAGCGTCTCTTCTCTTTCTTGGAGATTAAAAGCTTTCATCTGTTGGTATGTTTGGAAAGAGGAATAACAGGGCTTTCCAAAATGTCTCTTCTTCTGTCGGAAAGGTTTGCACCAGAATTGAAAAGGGTCTGGTTAGTTGGGTTTCCCTCTATTAGGAGATCTTGGGTTTAACCATTTAAGCTTTGCTCAATTTGTCTCTCAGTGGGGTACTCTGATCAGGGAAGAAGCTATCTTTATGTAATCCGTTCTATCTTATTTTATTTTCTAGCTCTCTCTATATGCAAGGGAATCACTTCCTCTTTTTCCTCCTTTTGATGAAAGCTTCTTACCTTTCAAAAAAAAATAAATAAAAATATGAGTTAATAGTTTATACTTTTAATTTGTCTTGCTGAATCAGGCTCTTAGATATGCATCAAATTCTGGTTCCCATGTCCATACAATACTGATAAAATGACAGCCAATTTAGGGATTAGGTCTATGCAACACTAGCTGCCAAAGTCTTTTTTTTTAAGGAATTCTATTGGAATGCAAGAAGTATGATTGTTGAAGGATAATAAGGAACCTTTGAGAAAAAATAACTAGAGGATTCAGAAAGGCTAACAAGTTTCACGTCACATGTAATTCTTAAAAGTTGAAATTCTAAGATAGACCAGAAGAATTAAAAAATGCACAGAAAAAGTATGAGTGCATGGCATAAAAGAAATTCTTAAAAGTTGAAATTCTCAGATACTTCCTCATTCCTGACCCCCTTCAGAGACCAAAGTACCAAACATTGTGGGAAGGGGTTTGGTCACAGGATTTGGAGGACATAAAAGAAATAATAAAGTATGAGTGCATGGCATAGAGGTTCCCATTCTGAAGATCAATACCTGACCAAAGCAGAAAACTGGAACCAAAGGTCGGCCTGTTTGTATGGCTATGCGAATAAACCCTTTTCTTGCCTTGACAAAGACAATCTACAAAAATAGTAATTTGACATAGACCAATTAAAAAAGGAGCAGAAATATTTAAATAAAACCAATATAGTATAAACAAGGACTAGAACCTGCAGATAATTGGTTGATATTCTACACCAAAACCAGGACCTGATGATTTGGATTTATATTTGCCAGAAAACAAAACAAAAAATTATGTGAGAAAGGAAACTAGTGTTCCTTAAGTCAGATTGTAAAGATTACCAAAGGGAATATGCCTCCCGAATAACCAGAAAAGTAAACATTCTAAACATACTGAATGAGAAATATTGCATGTAAAACTTACCCACAAGAAAAGAGAGAAAAATATATACTGGTGATTTAGGAGCATCCCATTTTAGATTTGGTGTAATGGTAAAAGCTTGTGCTAGCAAGCGTGAGAGCACGGGTTCAAGTCTGCGAGTGGTCATTTTTGTACAAAAAAAATTCCAATGGTTAGACCATATCCAGTCTACCCCTCCCAAGACCCTAGATAGCTGGGACGAATATTGGGTAATGGCCTTTGGCCATTTTAGACAAACCACCATAACTATGGCCCCGTAGTTGCTTGTTTCAAGAGAAAACGGTGCCCCTGTGCATTAATTATTACAGTGTAGAGTATTTTCATCTTTTTGCTTGGGTTTTACTCCATTTTATCAGAAATGGGATGTCACAAACCAAGACTAAGGGATTTCAGATAAATCAAAGCATTTAATGCACAACTGGGCTATTTATTTTCAGTTGTGAAACCCAGAAAGAAATTATAAAAGAAGCAAAGCAGAGACTATCAGAGAGATTTGAGAAATACTTGACTGGGTACAACAAGAAAAGCCTACAAGCACAAGTGGGATTTAGATTTATTGAAGGAAACAATTGGAACAGACACTAAGAACACTTAATCCTCTAATAATCAAATGAAGGATACAAACAGACCTCTGATCCATGCTTCATAAGACATGCCTCCTGCACCCCACCTGGCACTACAATGCAACTATGACCAGCTTCCAGAAGTGAGGTAAAATTCCTCTTTGTTGCAGGAGTTATCCCCAGCCAGGTCCATATATGCCTCAGGAATGGTGTATAAAAAATCTGTCATTTTCCACAAAAATGAAGAAAGAAGGAAATAGTGAAAAGTTCCAACCATACCAACAGGTATCATCATCATCTAAGCCTTACCCCAACTTTATAGGGTCGGCTACATAAATCCTGTTTCACCATTCTGTTCTGTTTAATGCCATATCTTACTGGCATCAAAGGTAGAAATCTTACAGCACTACTTGCAAGAAGCTTGATTTTTGGAAGATGCATGAATTCCGTAAAGTCCACAAGAGAAACAACTCCAATTGGAAAAACCGAATGTGGTTCATACCCAAAGACTGCAGGTATACATAGAGGCAGTCAATGTGCAAAATAAGGTGATGGTTGAGAGAGTAAAATAATTGAACTGAGATGGTGGTGAGGTCACTAAGAGAAAGAATCTAGGTGTTATAGAAGGTAGTAAAATTAAAAAAGAATAACAAAGAAATCTCTTAGAGAGATGAACAGATGATAGCATGAATACTCCAATGACCTCTCACCAAGATATGACATATTCACAATTCTAAGAAATAATTATTGGTTCATTGGACAATTCACGGTAGAGCAGAACTGAAACGATTTGGCACTAAGCCTGCCATTTTGGTAGGGTCAGTTTTGTTATGAAGGTAAACAAAGTTTTTTACTAATCGCTTTCCAAGTGTTTGAGGAGTAAGGGTTGAACTGTGTTTAAGGCAAGATATAGCTAAAGAACAAGAGGGTTCAAGTATAAAGTAAAGCGTACTTGTGGGGTGAGGGATCCTGAATAGGCATTTAGTTGCCATTTTGTTACACTGAAGTCTTATGTCTGAGAAGCAAAAAGCTCCAAAAGAAAGTACTTTGAAATTTTGTGATTTTCTCCTTTGTTTGACATCTAAGCATAGAGAACGTTGTTCTGGAATTTGAATGCTGAATTATGAAAATGGATGTTAATGTTAATGAAAAAATATTATAAAAGGGATTAATTAAACATTTAACAGTTAAAAATTAAAAAAACAAAGAAAAACAATGAGAAGCAAAAGAAATAATTAAAAATAATAGTACGATAATAAATTGATCAAATATTAATAAAGAAAAAGTAATAATAGTAAAACGATAATAATAAGACAATAAGAGTATATTATTAACAAAATATTAACACAATAACAATAGATAATAAAATATGAACATAAAATTAAAATTTCAGGAAAATTAAAAAAATATTAGTGAAAATAATAAAATAACAATAACATAACAAATAATAAAATATTAATAACAAAATAAGAAAAAGATATTTATAAAATAATATTATTAGAGTAATTAAATAGTGAACAAATATTAAAATAATAATAATAATATATTAATTAAATATTAATAAATCATTAATAACATAAGAATGTAATAAAAACAACGAAATAATAAAATAGTAACATGGTATAATAATAACAAATATTATATTGGTAACATGTTAACAAAAAATTAAAATACTAGTACTAATATATTAATAAAATAATAAAACAATATTACTAGTAAAATATTATTAATAATATATCAACAAAATAAATAAAATGAATAATGATATGATAACACAAAAAAATGAATAATGATATAGTGATCAGATATTATAAAAAATTAATAACATAACGAAAAACTAATAAAATCAGTAAAATATTAATGGAATAGAATTAATAAATGATAAAAAAATATTAAATAATATAGTAAACTATTAATAAAATAATAACAAATATGACAACATGAATAAAATTTAAGATATTAATAAAATAATAGAAAATATTTTGTTAACGAAATATTAATATATTAAAAAATAAATGTATTAATAATAAATAGTATTTAAATATTTGTATTCAGAAATATATTTTATGTTACTAATATTTTATTAATATTTAGTTTGTAATAATATTTTAACACAACATTTAATATTTTTAAATTATATTTGATTTTTTATATTATGAATATATTATTTTTATTTGTATCATTATTTTTCACATTTTAATATTTAAGTAATATTTATTAGTATTTTAGTAATATCTTATCAGTTTTTTAGTTTAATAGTATTATTTTTTTAATAATTTTTATTAATACTTTTCTATTATGTTTTTATTACTTTTTTGTATGATTTTAGTAACATTTTATTATGTTGGTATTTTCTTTTAATGTTTTAATAATTTATTCAGAACAGCTTATTAATATTTTTTTTGTTTCATTAGTATTTGACTATTTTAATACTTTTTTACATGAACTAAACAACATAAGGGCAAAACAATAAATTTACCTAGGAATATGAATGACCCATTTTAGCAAGATTAGACATAAATTCTTAATAACAAATTTACCAAACCATTTAAAGTCTCAAAAGCAAGTTACATTTTAGGCTTTAGATGTGTAATTAGAGTATTAGACCAAAAGAATGGCCCTTTACACAATGTTGATCCCATCTATTAAGGTCTTGAGAGGGGTGGATTGGAAAGCTTACCTCTTTGATACCTACATGGATCTACTAATGCCTTTGTACCCTATACATACAGTAGATTCTCTTTGTTTACAAACATAATATTTTTAAACATGATTAACAACCTAGACTATTAACAAAGACAATCTACTGTTTGTTTAGGCACAAAGATACTAGTATCCATTTGTAGCCAACCTTACTCCCTTTCTCTATTTTTGAGAAGGTTTAAGTTACTTTCTCTTCCAGGAACCTTGTTCTTGCCTATAAATAGTCTTGCACTCCTTCTCTTCCAAATGTATGAAAGAATTCTATTTGAACCATAAAATGCTTATAGTCTTGAGTGGAAAATTTTCACCCAAATGGTAGTGAGACACCATTTTTTCCTTGCCTGAGATTGTGAGGCCAATCCCAGATGGTGAAACTGTACCCCATATGCTTCACTTTCATCTTCTATCTTCTTCTTCTTGTTCTTTATCTTTACCTTCTGTGCAACAACACCATTAATACAAGCCCAGATCTCCTGAAAGCAAAAGTTGTGCAAACACCCTGGGAGCACAGCATCTAAGGCGTTTGCCAATGTGCAGCTGGATGATGTGCTCTGAGGGTGTTTGCATGCTTTTTGCCTTCAAGAAATCCTGTCTCCATTATTACAAATATGGCAGCAAACGTTATCTATTTGTCCAAATTCATATATGAACTTGACCCCATTAAGGGTGATTTGAATTCAATCCATTTATAATTGGATCAACCCCATTACCATCACCATCACCATCATTATCATCATCTAAGCCCTATCCCAACTTTATGGGTCAGCTACATGAATCCTGTTTCGCTATTCCATTCTGTTTAATATGATCCAACTATATGGATCAACTGCTATCCAATCCAATAAAAACTGATTCATTTATATATAAATATTATGCTCATATATACTTAAAATCTGTATTGTATCTATTAATAAAGTTGGTTTGATGTTGTGTTTTTACTAAACTGTCATAGGTTCATGTGTTGTATAAATTATTTTAAATTCATTTTGTAATGAAATATGAAAATCATTTTTAGTTCATATTGTTAATAATATATAACATTTTGATAATTTTTAGTTTAATTTATTGATACTATTCAACATACAATTGCAATCCCAATTTGAAATTGAATGTAAATGAATCAAATTTGGTTCTACCCATATTCAATTCGTTTCGTTTGCAGCCCCAAGATATTGGTTAGCTTTGCCTGATATCCTTGTTGAGATCAGGAGATTCATCATCGTGAACATCAAATTAGATGCCATAGCACCATTTCATACTCTTTCCACCTACTAGAACCTTTATTCCCTTACGATCTTTACATTATATGGCCCTCGATGGAGTAGAATGACAAAACAGGATTCATGTAGCAATGTCATTGGCTATTTGGCTATCTCTACAATGCATTGTTTAGGTCAACTCCGTATTAGCCCAGATTGGATAGAGTCCGTCATGAACAAAATCAGCGTAACCTAGTCTTGGTCCAGGATCCAGGACCGTCGGGCAGGCCAAAAAGAATTCAAACATCATATACTGGCAATTGAATGAATAAATGCATACCATAAGCTCGTTTTGATTCAAACGCCTTTATATCCTCTACATGCAGCGTCACCGGAAAATACGCACAGCAATGGTAACAGATGTACCTGAAAATTCATGCAAATTACACCATAAAATTAAGAAAAAGGTTATTTGGTAAACTATAATTGAAGAAAATTAGGGAAAAACGATTTTACCATGCCAATGTTCGACCTAGTTTACTTTCATCGTTAATAGGAAGCACCGTAAAAAACAAGAGCAGAACAAATATCCTGAAAAAAAAAAAAAGTGTCAGCATTCAGAAAGAGAGACGAAAGCAGAGAGAGAGGGAAAAGGCTAAGCAGAGCTGACGGAGAAAAGGAGAACAACTTTACTACGCACGAGAAAGCTAGGTAATTTGGAAGGAAGCACGCCATGAAAATCAATGCCACGACCAAATGTAAGGGACCGAGCAGAAGGGCGAGAGCCGTAACCATCTGCAACAGCGAAGATTCTTTTCTCTGGATTACTGTAGGCTCATCGCCGGCGTTAACGGATTTTTCACGGTCACCGATAGTCTCCGGCATGAATACAGGCATATAGCTATCAGAGAGAGAATTAGGAGGAGGTTCCCGTGAAGGTTGGTTAAAACGAACCTGGGCTTGCTTCGGGAAGGTATGTCTTAATGAAAACTGAAATACAAGCGGCAAATTCTGATCCGCGACCACGTTTTAAAACGAGGATGAACCGGGGGACCCGGTTCTAGGCTCTAGGCTCTGTCCAAGGCAGCGATTGCAACATTTGATCTTTCGACTTTCCACTTTCATAGCCTAAGCATCATAGGGGTGTTTACTGTCCGATCCGGTCAGACTAGAGGTGTAAATCGGGCCGTGCCGCCTGTGGCCCGGCACGAATTTGGATCGGCCCAGTATGGCTTGACACGATAATTTACGGGCCATGCTGGGCTTAGGGTTTTAGGTCCATGGGCTGGTACGGCATGACACGACCAAGCGGGTCATGTTGCTTGCAGCCCGCGCAAAGTGCGGGCTGTGCCGCCCTCCCTGGTGAAAATTTTGGGGGCCAGCTTGGCACTGCCAACGACCCAAGCCCGTGCGGGGCCGTGCCGTGAGCCGGGCTGGTCCGTGGGTCGAGTCTTGGGCTAGGTCGGGTCGTGCATCAGGCCAAAGCTGTTTATTTAAAAAAAATTGACAAAAAACTTAAAATTTTAAATTTATATGAATTTTGTGTATAAAATTGCTTATATATACAATAATTAAATAAATTAATATAATAAAATAAAAATTATATTTATTTTATTAATATACTATATACTATATACTATATACTATATACTATATACTATATATTATTATATAATTATAATTTATATAACATTATATAAATATAATTTATATAACATTATATAAATATATAAATAATATATATGGGCCGTGTTGGGCCAGGCTACGGGCAACACGGTCCGCTCGGTTGTGCCGTGTCATGCTGGCCCGTCGACCTAAAACCCATCCCAGCATGACTCGTTGATCGTCATGCTAGGCCGCAAGCGGCATGACCCAATTTACACCTCTAATTTTTATATATATTTATATAATATTATATAAATTATAATTACATAATAATATATAGTATATAATATATTAATAAAATAAATAGTTTTTTATTTTATTATACTAATTTATTTAATTATTGTATATATAAGCAATTGTATACACAAAATTCATATAAAAATTAAAATTTTATGTTTTTTGTCATTTTTTTAAATAAATAGCTTCGGCCCAATGCATGACTCGACTTGACCCAAGGCTCGATCCATGGGCCAACCCGGCCCATGGCACGACACAGGCCCGCATGGGCCTGGGCTATGCCGGGCCGACCCCCAAATTTTTCACCGGGGAGGGCGGCACGGCCCATAACAGCCCGTGGGCCAACATGGCATGGCCCACACTTTGCACGGGCCATCCACGATCTTTTTTCTCACAAAAAGAAAAAAAAAATCAATTAGACATTACTCCCATTTGGCTTTTTCCACAGCCAATGAGTGCTAAATTTTGGAATTCAGATTTGTTCCTAATAGAACATGCCTCACACCAACCTTACAGCATGGCATTGAGAACATCTTATAAGTCTAAGTGATGTGAGGAGCAAATCGAACTCTAATTTTGATTGTCAACATCCTAATCGTCATTAAATCATCCACCCCAAACTTTCTTAAGTGACAAAAGAACCCCCCTCCCCCCTCAACTTTTGAACTTTTAACAAAAAGTATATACATGTTGTAATAACAAAGTTATTTGTACTTTGATGTTAAGTGACATCAAAGTATATACATGTTGTAATAACAAAAAGTATATACATGTTGTATATGCATGTTGTAATAACAAAAAGTATATACATGTTGTAATAACAAGAGTTATCAAAGTACATGTTGTAATAACAAGAACCCCCCCTTCCCCCCGGCACAACTTTTGATGTAAATCAAGAATCGATATGAAATTTGAATGGAATAATGTTTTACATCGTGAATCGATGTAAAATCTCATCAAGCATAAAATTTTACATCGATAATTAATATAAATATTACATCGATTTTATCAATGTAAAACTTTATACTCTTCCACCCATCACATTTTTCAAAAAGCAACGATCACTTTCACGGTTCAGTATAAAACATTATCAGTGTAAAAATACACCAATAATATTCCAAACACAGCCTAAAGGAATTATACCCTATACGTTTTATACATTTGAGAAACTAATTATATATACCATGACCGTCAAAAACAACTTATACATGCCTTGTTGGCCGAAGGTTCAAACTTTCGATACATGTACATATGGTATTGTATCTTTTACATTCAGATAAACTATACATATATTTAAAGGTGTTCTTAAGAAACTCTTTTATTAATTAAAACACATAAGAAGCCCCTCTAAAATTTTGAAAAAAAAACTAAAATAATATAAAGAGTGAGGTGTTTTTAAGAAATTCTTTTATTAATTAAAACACATAAAAAGCCCCCCCTCTGAAATTTTGAAAAAAAAAACTAAAATAATATAGTGAGGTGCATGCAGCTACGTCTTTGTTGCTCCAGAAATTAAGAGACACGTTTTTCAATTTAAACGGTTCGACTAAACATAATTTTTGACCTTTTTTCTATTAAACACCTATATGGCGCTGAGCTGTCGATCACACCATCTTAATTTGGATATACACAAGCAATCTTCCTTCATCTTCAGGTTAGGATGGGGGTAATGTACGTAGAGGCCTAAAGGACCCTCAAGAACGGGGCCAATTAGGGCTAATCCGGTTAAAAAACAACGCACAAACAAACAAAGCGAGGGCTGCTTTTTCTCACCTAATGCTCATGTTTGGAAGGAATACAAATACAAATATGTAGAGTGCAAAACAATGTATTTTGTATGTATTTGTACTGTATATATTTGTATTTGTTCTTCCAAACCGAGCCTAAACCACTACGCTGCAACAGTGCAATCTGGGGCTTTTACTTTCTTCCTTCTCTTAAAAGTTTCTATATATACCACAGTCTAGCTTGGACAGCTTTCTAGGGGCCGTGAATAGTTACAAAGATCAATGAGGAAGCTTTTGAGATTTTAATATAAAGTTTCACAAAAAATTACATCTGAAATTATACATGTTTAAAAATGGATGAGACTGCAAACCCAAGGAAATGCACTTATCAAAGTATTCTCAATTGAAGATCAGCATGGCCCACCCTAGCCTTGTGTTTCTCAAAAAGTTCTTCAAGAGCTGTTACAAACCGGCTATGCACCTCATTCACCTGCCCGCCCAACAGAAAAGAATGTTAGTTAACACTTGACAGATGTAAGTCGCATATTTGTGGTGCGACAAATTTTTTTTATAGCCCATTATGTGGCAGTGGCAGACAACTTTATCGCTGCATTTGGTTGCAGTGCAATTTTATTTGCACTAGTACAAATGCATAAGAGTGCAAATGAAAAAAATGTAAATTCTTGTTTAATTTTGTTTTGGGTTTTACTTTATTTGCTTCATGTCTTAATTTACTTTATTTGCACTGCAATCAAACAAAATAAGCTAAAATTTGAAACAAAAAATAGGTCAGAATTTACACTCAAATCATTTGCACTGTCATAGTTTTGCATCAATACAAATTTATTTGCATTGCAACCAAACACAGCCTAGTTTTCAGCACAACTAACCAATCGACATGCAGCAGTCAAAACAATACTGATGGGAGGTCCTTCGTTGGAATAGGGGTCTGGAATCAGAATAATTGGATGAAATCAGAATCCCATTCCCATTCTTGCTGGAATGGCATTCCTCATTTGAGGAAATAGCCATTTCCTGCCCCTCCCTTGAGAATAAAATCCCATTCCTGCTGATTTCAATTTCCATTCTCATTCCTGTCTGAACCAAACAGACTATGGGAATGGATTATTCTGATTTCAATTCCAGAAGATTTCGATTCCAATTCCAGTGTAAACCAAACAGGCCCGGAGATGTTTTCTGTTGCCTATAACATTTCTAGTGATGGTGTAAGATTACAGGGTTTAGCGGCATGAGCAAGTAGTTTAATTTATGAGTTATGACCGGAGAAAAGGCCATGACTCAGAAAGGTATGGCGCAACACTTGGAGCTTTTTGATAAAACCAGCAGTCCGGCATACCTTCCAGATAAAGGCTGTTTCACTATATTGTTTCTCTTTCTGACTGTTCTTTTCTTTCATTCCTCTTTTTATTTTTACTATTTTTGACAAGTGTAGACAGTGTAGTTGCAGTTGATCCGACAACCCAGGTATTTGCTTGTGTTTCATTTAAACCACCATCGTTCTATCGTTTGTCAGAAAGGGTGAATTCCATTATGTTGGGGCCTTGTAGGGAGTCACGAACCATGAGGAGTCGCCAAAACAGAGGTCTTGCACACATAACTTGCATCAGACTTGTACACAAGATATGGACACCACTTACAACCCAAAAACCCAAGTTATTGGGTTATGGGCCACTCCTGTATATAAGTCCCTTGCACTTCTTGTGTCTTTCCAATGTGGGACTCTCTTTCACTCCTCATTCTATACACCTACTCACATGTGCATCCCAACACATTATTGTGCCAAGGGGGTTGGAGACAACGGTACATCTCGTGCAGGGCATTAAATTTCGCTGATCGGAATGGCCCATCCATCATCATTTAGATCTTGCATACCAGCCTTCCAATGTGACAGAAAACCTCTAGCAGCAAGCTTTAAGCCCACACAGCATTTATATGTCAATTTTCCCCTTGATTACCATCAAGGGAAACCACTGCTAAGAAACAGATGATATGCCAAATTGAAAGAAATAAACAATAACCTGACAAAGACTACACTAACTTATTTACGTTCAGTATCAATAGGAACAGAGGGTCCGAAGTGTTCTTACCTCTTCCATAGTTGGTTGTGGAATTCTTTTCAGCTCAATGGGCCTGCCCACCACAACATGCATGGGTCTTCGATATGGTAGTGGTGATCTGAGAAAATAAAACCAATAGATGAATTTCATTGTCTATAAAAAGAAGTATATCAAACAATCTATAGTTAAAGAATTGTATGCAATTGCTTTTGTCTCTCTCAAGGGATGATGTTAAGTTTTTCTCTCTAGAATGTTTTCATTGGTCATATCAACAGTACCCGTTGGCTTAACATGTACAATTTTATTATGCCATGTATCCTTTTTCCTCCTAATTCTCAGTGCCTTGACAAGGGTTGCTTGCAGTTTTAATTCCAATTTGCCTATTGCCCTCTACCGTGTGGCAAATTCAAACAACAAGACCCAATGCATGGAAAAGAATATGGGTTCCCCTGCTAGTTGGTTTTCAATTTAAAAAACATGCACGATCTCAGAGTTGGATTATGGTTGGTTAAAATTTGCTAAACAAGGTATTCTCATAAATAGGTCTACTTGTGGGTGACAAAGATAACATTGTCAGCATGGATCAGGAGTATTTCGTATCAGATCCTTTATCTAGATTGATAATAGAGAGAGGGCGGTTGGACATGGATGCTGTGCTACCAAATAGCATCCAAATGAGCCACTGCTTAATCCCGTTATGCTTTATTCTCTTCTCTAAAGAATTTTGACATCTTCCAGTGACTCAATATAATCATCAAAGAATAGATGAAAAGATAAAAGAATTCTTGGAGAAGATGCTAAATATATATGTTACATACCCAAATACTCCCCAGAAAATGATTGGAGTGAACTTTATAGCTCTAGACAGTCGCAAATACAGTTCCCCACTTGGCTTCCACCAGTTGTAGACATCTGTCTGCACTTCACAAAATGAACAAAGTTACAATGCACACATGCACACAAACACACACACACAAACACACACAGGGAGTTCTATTAAGTGTTGGAATATGATGCATGTCTGACATGGACAGTCAAAAGGTTTAGAAGTTTGGATTCCATTAAGTGTTTGGAGATTCCACTAAGCAGTATGCAGAACAAACCGCAAAGGTAATATTTGGCAATCCCATACACATGATGGAAGTATGCTTTTCAAATCGATCTTGTTTCTTACTTTCTGAGCTCTCATATCATCAGTATTGCCACATTCCACATGGCACCACCTACTAAGCCCATAAGAGCGGCCCTGAAGGTCTTTGATATACATTGGAAGGGCACAGATTAGACCAAATAGAAGAAACACTATTGAAATGAATTGTTCATTCTTTGTCCACTTCAGATAAGAATAAAACATGAGAAGACATATTTGAGAGGCTGCATTTTCTGGAACATGCCTGTGTAATCCACTCAAATATCTTCAGAAGGAATGGTCAAATAAAATGGATCCTGATAAACTTCAATTCAATTGCATACATGCCTGTGTTGGATGGAATCTCCAAATGACTGTCCATGTCAGACATGCATCATATCCCAACACTTAATGGAATCTCCAAATTTCTAAACATTTTCCCATGGGTATAATATATCCTTCAATAGTTTATACTTTTCTATATACATGCCTAAGAGTTTTTGTTTTTTCGTCTTGCCAAGTCAAACTCCCAAGGCATACATCAGATGTTGTTCCCCATGTCTACATCCATGCAACACCGATATATGCAGGCCAAACTAGGGGTTAGGAGGGTTTTTCTTATGGGGTTAGATTCATACTTTAGTGATAGTTTTCTGGAATGGGTCACAATTTACATCCTCTTAACTATATTTCTTTTGGTAAATGATGAAGCTAATTCACCTCATGTCTGGAAAAAAAAGCACTAGCTGGCAATATCTTTTTGTGAAGGAACTCTTTTGGTATGCAAGAGGAAGTATGTTGTTTAAGGATAACTTGATAAGATGCTTTTGAGCAAAAACTAACTAGGGGAATCAGAAAGGCTAACAGGCTTCACGTCACATATGTTCCTAAAAAATTGAAATTCCAAGATATATCAGAAGATTTATAAAATGCACAAAAAAAACACACATGCCAAATCCTTCCTCATCACTAACCCCTTTGGATACCAAAGCACTCCGGATCTGCTACCCACAAACTGTTCCCACATCCCTACCCACAGAACACCACAATGTTTTGGGAATATCTCCCATGAATGACAAGGGGAATATTCCCAATGTGCAGCTGTAACGTTCCATGGGTAGGGATGTGGGAACATCTAGTGGGTAGCAGATCCAAGCCCATACCGAAGTACCAAACATAGTGGGAGGGGATTTGGTCATAGAATGTAAAGGATAGAACGGAAATAACAAAGCATAATGCATAGGTTTCCAATATTAAAGATCAATACCTGACCAAAGCAGAAAACTGGAACCAAAGGTCGGCCTGCCTCCATAGCTATGCGAATAAACCCTTTTCTTGACTTGATGAAGGCAATCTACAAAACAGCAATTAAACATAGAACAATTAAAAAGGAGAAGAAAAAAACCAAGGCCTGATGAATTCAACTTATAGTTGCCAAATAGGAAAACAAAAAATGATTTGAAAAGGGAAACTGATGTTCTTTAAGTAAGAACGTTAAGATCACATAAGGGAATACCCCTCTCAAATAACCAGAAAAGTGGGCATTCCATTTTAGACTAAACAAGAAAAATTGCATGTAAAACTTACCCAGGAACATCCCATTTTAGACAAACTGGGAGAACCCTAACTATGGCCAAAAGTTGCTTGTTTCAAGAGAAAAAGGTGCCCATGTATTGATTATTACAGTGATAGATATGGCATTTTCATCTTTTTATTTGGAATTTGTCCCAGTTTATCAGAAACGGAATGTCAGACAAACCAAAGTTTATAATGCATATCTGGTGTCAAGACTGCTGGAACAGACCAAAAGAAGGCAGTTAATCAGTTTTACAAGAGGAGGCCATGTCAGCACAACTAACCATCCACTTGTAACAACTGTAACAGAAACTGTAACGGAAAGACAACCAAGATTGTAAAACTACAAGTAGTAGAGCAGAAAAGGAATAGGGCATTGATTCTTTCAGCATTAAACTCTCTCTCTCTCTCTCTCTTCTTCCAAGAATTCAGGAGGTTGGCCCCTCGAAGAGCCCTGAGTTAGGCAGGTTCCTAACAATTTGGTATCAGAGCCAGCATGACCAACACAAGAAACACGTCAGTAGACACCCGAGTGGATCAGATGGAGGTAGAGATCCATCGAATATCTTCAGATCTCAAAGAAATGAAGGAAGGCTTCACTACTCTCCTCCTTCAACTGGAGCAGGGGGCAACGAACATTGACAGACGAAGCCAAGAAGAGCGCAGCAATGAAAACAGCCGCAGAACAGGGGCAGCAATAAGAACAGCCAAAATCAACTTCCCCATCTTCTCAGGCGGCGACCCAACTCCCTGGATTCTCAGAGACGAAAGGTATTTTGATTACCATGAAACACTGGGGCAAGATAGGGTAGCTCTGGCTTCTGCACATCTTGAAGGGGAAGCTATCCTCTGGTTTCAATGGTACTGAAGGGGGCACCCTCGTCAAACTTGGGCAGACTTCACGGACGCCATGACTATCCGTTTTGGATCATCTGGGTTCGAAGATCTTGATGAAAATTTGGCAAAGTTGCGACAGGTGGGATCAGTAAAGGAATACCAGATGGAGTTCAAAAGGCTGGCCGTGAGAGTCCAAGGGTGGACGGAGAAGGCGTTGGTGGGAAGCTTCGTCGGTGGCCTAAAAGAAGAACTGCGACTGGAAGTGAAAGCGATGCAGCCCACTTCGATCATCAATGCGACAGCACTAGCTAGATTGTATGAGGACAAGTTCAGTCGAGCAAGAAAGGTGTAGCGACCATGGGGTCCAGGAGCAAGAAGGGAGCAAGAAAGGATGACAGCACCAGACAAGGAGGAAGGAGTATTAGGCCCAGGCCCACTGGTTCCTTTCAAACGGCTGACCTGGGCAGAGATGCAAGCCCGCAGAGACAAAGGTCTCTGTTACAACGGCGAAGAGAAATTTGGGCCGGGCCATCGCTGCAAGAAACAACAAGTGTTTCTCCTCCAAACAAATGCCGAAGAGGAAAACGACATCACCAGTTGTGGAGAATCTAACCCAAGGTGGAAAATACAATCCAATGGCATGCCTGAAATATCCTTACAAGCCCTTACGGGACTTGCATCCCCTCAGACAATGAGAGTTACAAGGCTGATCCTAGGACGCCAAGTGTCAATCCTCATAGACAGTGGCAGCTCCCTTAACTTCATAACTCAAGTCTTGGTGGATAAAATGGGACTTCCGGTTCAACCAACAACGGCCTTTACGATTCATGTGGCCAACGGTAACAGCCTATCTTGCAATAGCATTTGCATGGGCCTACCACTAAAGATTCGGGGTCATCAGTTTGCGGTGGACTTATATCCTCTCCATCTCAGTGGAGCGGACGTGGTGCTTCAATGGTTAAGACAGCTAGAACCCGTGGTCTATAACTGGGCCCGTCTCACCATGGACTTCACATCAGGAAACTCTACAGTCCATCTACAAGGGAAAACATGCAAGGGCCCAAGGCCCATCAATCTTGCAACACTGACAAAGCAAAGAGGAGATCCAGATCAGCCCATATTCATGCACATGGACTCAAATTGGACCAGGCCATCCTTAGCTAACAGCAGCCCAGATGGGCCTAGAGACTTCCAAAGCCGCCTACAACAACTCCTTCAGCACTATGGCAACGTGTTCAACGAACCCCAAGGACTGCCACCATGCCGGGAGCATGACCACCGCATCCCCCTCATGCCGGGATCAACCCCGACCAATGTAAGACCCTACCAATACCCTTACTTTCAGAAATCTGAAATCGAGAAGCAAGTTCAAGATATGCTTAAGCAAGGGATAATACAGCCCATTCTCTTCACCGGTACTATTAGTCAAGAACAAGTATGGGACGTGGCGGTTTTGTATTGATTACAGAGCCCTTAACAGCATCACCATTAAAGACCGATTCCCAATACCAGTCATTGATGAGCTGCTTGATGAACTCAGTCAAGCCACCATATTCTCAAAACTGGATTTACGAGCTGGGTATCATCAAATAAGGGTACATAGGGAGGATGTTCACAAAAC